ATGCATGCATACATTTTATGCATCATAGGATGTTTATTGATGCCAGATACATCACTTTCTGAAATTCACTTGATGTATCTTTTACTTTTACCAGACCTAACTGTTGTGCCAAACTATGGCTGAGAATATGCTATACTTGCTTGATTTTATCTAGCTTTAGACCATATAGTTGACCCTCGTCAAAAAAATATTGGAGGTTGTATGTTACTTCTTCACTGTTAAGCATATGCTCAAATTATATGTCTTTGTCCACGTGTTGAAGATTTCATTGATTAAGAAGTTGATGCAGGATATGATTTTCCCTTAACAAGAAGGTATAATGTGTGATTTTCTTTCATCTTAGAATATTTTTATGCATTTTTTTACAAAATTATTTTTTATCTTAGGTAGTCTCGACCTGGTCAGATGTCAAATACCCTTGCATACGTCGTGCCTCATTTGTTTTGCAATAGTTAGTTTCATCAGGTTGATCGAGTCATGAGACAGTTTGGTCTACGACAAAATATTCCTCATGATCCAATGAACCTAGATGAGTTTCACAAAATAAATATGAGGGACAAAACAAACACATTTTTTTCCACAGTATCATCAACAATGGATTGCGTTATGTCATGGAACGATCGATAGAATTGACTAATTCAAGGTGAACAGTTCAATGGAAATGAATATTTATGCTAAAATACATCTTATATGCAATTTTTAATGTACTATACTATGTATTTCCATTCAACAAACACAAGATACCGACAATGAATTAAGTATCAAATATTATTTCAATTAGTTATATTTTACCTACAAATATTAATTTTATATATTTTTTTCCATTACTATGATACATCGCAGGAGAACATGTCCCTTACATATTTAATATGATGCCTTCTGGTTCAAATATTTTTGCTATCTCATTCATGGCACCATGTTCAACCTATCATCAAGTTTAATATTTGGATTTTTATCGACCAACATTACCTACACCTCAGAATCCAACTCAAGAAGAAAGACATGGTGATAGTGATACAAAATCACAACAAACATATGTCCCTCAACAGAATGAAAGACTTAGACAAAATACAAGAAGACCATCCTGTGGAACAGACTTCGATATTAGATTATTTTTTATATTACATTTTCTCGCATCATGTAATTATTTCTAATAATATTAATATATGTTATTTTATTAATTACTCTTATATTTTTAATTTTTTTCTAAAATATGATAAATAAAAAATATTACAATGTAATATTATGTTATAATTAAATTAAAATATAAAAAAAATACAAAAAATGTGAATAAAAAATAAAATCCAAAGTCATCTAGATGACACGACTTTAAAATAATAATAATAAAAATTCAAAGTCTTACTAAGACTTTAGAATGAAAAAAAATTGTAAATCAGTGTAAGTCGTGCATGATGACACAATTTTTTTATTTTATACAAATTCCACATTCCTAGCACGACTTACCCATTTTTGTAAAATTGAAAAAATTTGCACCAATATGGTCATATTCTTCTTAAATTACACTATATTGGTAAAAAAACAGATTATGAATTACTATAATAATAGAGTCTAATAGATAATAATAGAGTCTAATAGAAGGGTTGTAACAAAGAATTTAACAATGAAGGAAATCAGCCGGGCTCCATCATCATGATGGTCAACATATGGTTGCGGACATCCAAATATATTTTGGGAAAATTTTTACTATTTTTGGTTAATGTGATTAATGATATAAAATATTTGTTTTTCATAGGTCAACAAAGATAAATATGAAATTGTTAGTTTTAACACCGTTTGTTAGATATGTGTAACAACAATATTAAAAAGATTTCATTATGAAGAAGAAATAATATTTGACCACTGATCCTTTGATCACATTGTTGGAGATTTTAGAATCTTAAGTATATACCCAATAAAGGTGCTTGAGACTCATTGTATTTGATAGGAAAAGTGAAGTATCATTATATATATACAATGTCTATTTGTTAAAGATTGCATCAAGTAATTTACATCTCAATATATTTATTATGTTAGATAGTTTTGTTTGTTAAGTAGATGATTTATCATTATCTAGTAGGTATGCATATATACTATGTATTAAATTAGGCATGGCAACGGGACGGGATAGGGACGGATTTTGTCTCCTGATTCCCGCCCTTCGATTTTTTTAACAATCCCTGTTCTCGTCCCCGATCCCCGCGGTTAAAAATTAAGTCCCCATCCCCGTCTCTCGCTGGTTTCGGTTCCCGCCCTCGCCCCGTCCTCGATCTATATTATTTTTAAAAAGATAATTACATTTATAATAAATTAATTTTATTATGTATATTTTATATATAAAAAAATATTTATAATTTTATAATTTATAATTATTATTAATTAAATATACATTTTAATTTATTATATTTATATTAAAATATGTATGTAAAAAAATATTTAATTGTTTTTTATTTATATATATATAGAGAATATTTATAACATTATTATTATTATTATTATTATTATTATTATTATTATTATTATTATACTATTCAAATATTTGAATACTTATAACATTATTATTATAATACTGTATTCAAACATTTAATTTTATATATATATATATATATATATATATATATATATATATATATATATAAAAGTTAATTCATTTTTAAGTTCTCATTTAAAAATATGAAATATATAGTTTATAAGGAAATATTTAATAAGTTAATTCTTATTTAATTAGTTCAAGTAATAAAAGTTTAAATTATCAATTTCTTTTAATCCTTTACAATAAAATTATATTATTAAGATAAAATTTGATATATGATAAATAAGAATAATAAGATAAAAAAATATGATATAATAAAACCTAATAAATATAATTTATAAATAAAATAATATTAGTTACTACTAGGATTTATGTAAAATATTTAGAAAAAGATAAAGAAGAAAAAAATTTTACTTTATGTTCATCAAATTGATTGAAAAGATTAAAAAAATAAATAAATTGATGGGAGAAATTAAGGAAATGTAAAAAATAGAAAGGTAGGAGAGAGAATAATATAATAAATTAAAGCGGAGATTGCATTACTCATCCCCGCCCGACTTTTTAAAGCGGAAAACCCGAACCCGCCTCCGCCCCGATCAACTCGGGTTTTCTCCATCAAACTCGAGACGGGGACGGGTCGATCCCCACGGATACGGATTTAATTGTCATCCCTAGTATTAACGAGGGAAAACATAAAATATATGGATTGTTGCACCCACAATTCATTCATCAATGAGAAAAAAAAATTAAAAAAATATAAGCATACATAATCAACACCTTTTTGTCGAGAGAAAAAATATCAATATATTTATTTTACACCATATATTTATGAATCACATTTTAATTATCTTTTTTATTAATCAAGTTGTTAAGAATCCAAGTATGAGTTCAAATCCCAAATTGAGTAAAAATATAAAAGTTTAGTAATAAGAAAGACCTATAAACTAATGTCTTAAAATTGTTTATTAAATGTAGTGTCATATTCTCTTATATGATTGACTCATGTCTTATTATCGAAATTTTCATTTTTGTTGGCCACCCTAAAAAATACCCACCACAAATTATATAAGTATGTTCGTATATGGACATAAGAAGGGTATGCTAGCTTTGAAATGCAAGTATTTTTCATATTTGGACTATGGAGATGTCTTCAAGGGCAACAACATTCATAGGAGTAAAAATGTAAAAATGGGTGATTTGGCTTAGTTTGACCTGGTCCAACGAGTAAAAAGGAATTTTAACAACCCAAGCTTACCTATGTTTTAAAGTATACCATAATTTTTTGCCTAATATGAGTGTATGTTAGGTCAACAAATTAACATGTCAATTTTGACTTGATTGAAAATAGAAAACAAATAAATAATAATTAACTAAATAAATAAATAAAAAATAAATAAAACATACATTTTTAAAATTTAAATTATATTAATAAGATTAATATTTATTCATGATATAACTATTTAATATATAAATTATAGAAGAAAGAATTAATTCATTCTAAAAAAATTAAAGACTTATTTTTTATTATCATTATTTATTTTTTAATAATTTAATAATTAAAAATAGTAATTTATCTTAAATATTTAATTATGAAATAAATTGTATTAGAAACTTACTCTTATACTTAATGCATAGACTAAGTGAATCATTTATTAAATTAATTTATAATAAATAAATATTTTTTAATAAAATAATTATTATTTTATAAAATAATTCACATCGTACTAATATACTAATCTAAACCTACTTAAATCATAATTTAAATAAATTAAATAAAAATAACCTGATTCAAATTTATTCAATTAAACTTATTTTAATATCTCTCTTTGAGGAGAGATTTTCATGGTTATATTGGTATTCTCGTATATAACAAAAGAACAAAATAGCAAAAGTATGTTTTGAAATCTTAATCATGTGCCTGACCCTTGGTTTCAGCTTGAGCATGAAGCAGTTTTGTCTAAGAGAGATATCTTTTATATGTATTTTTTATTACCTCTAAAATAGAAAATAAACTAAACTGAGGAGCTTACTTTTTTTCAAGACAAACCATCATTTGCAGAAGACGTCTAAAGTGGTTAGTATATAAATATTTAGTTCAATAAAAAATCTACCTTTTTCAATACTATACTTTCTAAATTTAAACTACTATATTAACCATTAAACACAATAATGATTTAAAATAAAATAGTTTTTTATTAAGAAAAAAAAAACAGGAATAACTTGCGAGTAGATAAATTAAACAAGCACCACGCCCAACAAGAGAATAAAACCTAAAAATATGCTCTTCTTCTTATTTGGATATCCAAAAATACTCGCGAATATTCGCTTCTTCTAATTCTTATATCAATCACAATTTCTCTTCCTCTTTCCTATTCTTTAACCCACTGTTTTATTCTTCATCATATTCACTTTTTTTCTTTCACATCTTCTTCAAGTTTCTCAGTTCACACTGTTCTGTAATTCGTCAAGCATGAAATTCGGAAAGAGCCTGAACAACCAGATCGAGAAAACACTACCCCAATGGCGCGACAAGTTCCTATCGTATAAGGAATTGAAGAAGAAATTGAAACTTGTCGAGCCCAAACACACCGAGCAACGCTCCACCAAACGCCCAAGGCTCGATGCAGACATGTCCAAGGAGGAAACAGACTTCAGGAACTCACTCGAAGAAGAACTCCACAAATTCAACACCTTCTTTGAGGAGAAAGAGGAAGAGTGCATCATCAAATTGAAGGTAGTACCATGTGTTTTCTTATTACTTTTATCAAATTATCTGGTATATGAATTATTTTCTTATAAAATGTTTTTAATAATATTAATTGAAATAATTTATGATTAACAAATTGATAACTGGTACCAACTACTTGTGTGAATCGTATTAAATGCTTCGGAATCTGATGCGAATATACCAGGCACAAACACACATGTTATTAAAATAAATAAATCGAAGTTAATTTCTGATGTTGACTTTATTAACATGTATTAGTTGATATCTTGTATCGTTAATATATTTTGTCATGTATTGAAATATAAATGATTTGATCATCTAATTATTGTTATTAATTTTAAAAATTTTGGAGGAGTGCTGTAGCCAAAGTAATGGTGATGCGTGGTTGAAATGTGCAGGAGCTACAAGATAGGGTGGGCAAAGTAAAAGATTCTAATGAGCAATTAATGGAAATTCGCAAGGAGATTGTTGATTTCCATGGAGAGATGGTCTTGCTCGAAAACTATAGTGCTCTGAACTACACAGGTACATACTCGAAATGCTATGTTATGTAACTCAATAGAAAGTGTAGTAGATTAGAAAAAGGGTTTCATACTCATAAGTTTATCTATTGATCATGAAATTTCAGTGAGTAGCTTGTTAGGGATAAATTGGATTGCTTTATATGCCTTGTGATTAGTCTAAAGTATCTTCCGCTAAATTGAAGATTGATTTGCCTGAGATTCACATCAACTCTTAATTTCCTACAATTTTGTGTGTTTACAGGACTAGTGAAAATACTAAAGAAGTATGACAAGAGAACTGGTGCTCTCATTCGCTTGCGTTTCATTCAGAAGGTCTTGCAACAGCCTTTCTTCACCACTGATCTGCTCTACAAACTTGTGAAGGAGTGTGAAACAATGCTGGACCACCTTTTCCCGGTGAATGATCCTTCTATTTGTGGGGAGGCAACAACTCCCCAAGCTGAGGGGTGTGATGCTTCAACTGCAAGCAGCAGTAAGAGTGATGATCTGCTGATGCCAAAGGATTTAGCAGCCAACCAGCACCACCACATTGAGAGCCTCTATATGAAGAGTACCATCACAGCTTTACATGTTTTGCAGGAAATTAGAAAGGGAAGTTCAACGATAAGCATGTTTTCATTGCCACCGTTGCAGATGAGTGGCTTGGAAGAAACATGAACAAAATCCCAATTCTGGAACAGACAGCCAAGTAACCTTGTGGATTACATTGGGGATTAAAGACTAGTTTAGTGGGATGAGAGTTTACCTTTTTTACATTTTTAAATCCTGAGCCTCAGTATGCACAACAGATCACACAACACCAATGTAAGATGCTAAAGATAGTGAAAATATTGATACAATGCTCATACCAGAAAGAGCAAGAAAACATTTTCGAACTAAGATCATGTGAAAAAAAAATGTATCTATACTTGTTCCTCGCGTACACAACATCTAGCATAATAATTTTTCTTTCTTTCAATCGAAGATGTTATCTTCTAATAGAACTAGGTTGCTCTTTCCTCCTTTGTCTTCTACCGAAAAGGGTTGTAATGCTCTTATAAAGTAAATTAACACTTACAAAACCTATGTGCGTTCTTCCTTAATTTGAGATATTGTCTTTCAATATAATTGAGTTTTTTCTTCCTCTTATCTCTTCTACTAAAAAGGGGTAGTGTGCTTTAAGTGGTGGAGCCTGACATAAAAAAAAGTGGGGGTGCTAAACAAAATTGACATAAAACATGAAGTAGCTCATTTTAAATTTTGAATAAGGTGTTAAGGGATACATTTATGTTGAAGTATTACCGGCATTACCATAAAATAAAGTCGCTAAACTATAAAAGTATTGATAGGTTCAAGTTTCATTATAGTCATGACAACTTAATGGTCAATATAAGTATTCTTAAACAACTTTTGATGATGGTGTAGTTCTCAAAATAATATTTTTGTAGTCTTTCATGAGCTTTTATGCTTTAGATGTTTTTCTTAATGATATGTTAATGTTTTTAATCGGCTTTATACAACATGACAAATGTTATACATACTAGAAGAGACCAATTCCCATTTATCATAAAAATGATGGTTATTTCTAATACACTAAAGCCCCAAATCACATTCATATTTTATTATATATAGTAAGTAACAATTAATCTATTAAAAACTCAAATGAAATAGTGGAACATGCATTTCAATCAGTTTCTGAAAAAGAAAAGCATGACTGAGTTCGTTGCTATAGATGCATTATGACACTAATAATATTGAGAAAAAAAAATCAAGAAATTGATGTCATATTAAAAGGACATGTTACTGAAATGAATGGTATGGCAAAAAAGATTCAAGATTTAGAGACAATGATGAAATTCATGCTTGGGTAACAATGATGAAATGATATACAACTTTCCCACGTTCCTCTGCTCAATTCGTGTTCTTGATTATGAAAAGATATTTAAATTAAACCTTTTTAATAAGTGTTTGAACTATTTTCTGTTATTATTAAAGTTTAGTATTGGATCAATACATTAGTCTTGGGATTGCAAAATAATATAGTATTTAATATATTATTAGATATATGTTATGCTTTCATTTCAGATATTGTATAATATTTTGTTATGTTGTCATTTGAATTTTAGATCGTATAATTAATTATTTATTCTTTAGGTGTTGATATATGTTTTGTGATATTGATATTGGATAAATTTAGAACCTTGGATAAATTCGATTTTTATAATCTTTTTATATCTTGCATAAATTTGATTTTCATATACTTCCTATACCTTATTTTTAAGATAATTTTTACAATTTTTACATGTTGGATTTGAAGATGATATTTAAGATGAGTTGAATTTTTTTAAGTCGTATATATTTGTAATATACAATATATATTTGTGGGTGTATTTTCATATTTTAATAATTTATTTAAATAAAAAATAATAAAATAATATTTTTTATGTTCTTCCTTTATTTAATATTTATTTTGTTTGAAATTCTTATATGTTTTACCATACTTTCTTATCTATCATGAGAATATTTTATTTAGTCGTTAACATGTTTAAATTTACTTTTTGATCTCATTTCATTTGCCTTTCATCCATAAGATGTGACGTGAAGAAGATATTTTCTTCTCACAAAAATCGTTCTTCTTTATTTCATTATCTTTCAACATAAACAATTCTATAATAGGTTTAAACTCCTTCTAACTCAACTTGTCATGAATATAATTTTTTATTTCTTTATCTTTTTGCTTGAGAGTCACATTTTTAACTTTTAAGATATCTTCTATCTTTTCTTTCTCATATGTCTTTGTTATAATAAAAAGATTGTTGTTTGTTTGAGTCATATTTCTCAACAATGATATTGACTTGGTTGATTGATAGACTTTTCTCTTTCAAACCCTTGTGCTCTTCTTTGTGGGTATTTTCATATTATTCTTTTAAATAATCCTAAAATTCTTTGGGTGACTTTAAGGTTATGGTTCTAATGAAAATTATTTATGAAATACTTGCAAACAAACATGACTTCGCTTTCGTCCTCCTCATTTCTTCTTTCCTTTTAAATTTTAATTTGGACTATGATAAAATTTTCAGATAATAAATCAATGATATAATTTTCTTCCATAACTTTTCATAAATTTAATCCTTCAAAATAAAATTACATTCTCTTTTCATTCTTTAAATAAGAATCAAATCTCTTAATATCACCATAAATTTTTTAGATTTTTCATATATCTATATGCATTCTCACATTTTATTTATATACTCGTGTACTCTATATATAAGTAAAAATATAATAAAATATCAAATATTAATAATATCAATCATAATTACTTAAATAAAATTAATAATAATTTTTTTCTCTTATTATAAAGAATATAAAAATATTTTCATATTTAATTTAAAAAAATAATAATAAAGTAATGTTGTGAAGGAAAACCATTTATTGAAAAATGATGAGAAAACTTTAATAGTACTTAGACGTAGATGACATTGAAATGTACCACGACTAAATATGGAACACAAATGATAGAAATTAGACAGGTGCCTTAAGCCCAAATCTAGGAAGCAGACCAAATTGCAACCTCTGAATATCCATCTTCTGTAGCACATGCTCGGAACATGCCCGTGGTGTTGTAAGGCGTAGCAACTTCTCCTGCTGCTGACACAGCAACCAAGCCAACAGTGCCTTTTGGCGTGCGTTCATGCACAACACAGTTAGCAGCTTCCATCAGAGAAAACCCTTTGAATTCCATCAATGCAGCAACATCTCTTGCAACAGTGGCACGCAGTATTGCTTCACCTTTGCCCGTTGCAGAGACTGCACAAAGCTCATTGGCATACGTCCCACCACCTATGATGGGTGAGTCACCAATTCGACCAACCATTTTGTTCACTAGTCCACCAGTGGATGTAGCAGAGGCTAGGTTCCCATTACTATCAACAGCCACACACCCCACTGTTCCTAGTTGACTATCCCCATTAGCCACAACTGATGTTTCCTTTTTGGTACCATTTTGGAGGGGTTGAGTACTGTAATCAATCTATATATTGTGAAGCACAAAAGATATCAGTATCATAAGAAGGGAAATAACATAAATTGCAAGTGATTGATTTAACAAACAATTATAGGATAAAGCTCAAATGCAACTCTTCAAGGATTTTTGGTATTATTCATTAATCAGAATTTAAATTTTATTTTTAGATAACAGTATAGATGTGCTTTTAAATATAAAGGTGAGTATAGATTCCTAACATAAAACTGTAATTCTAATGGACTCTAGAATCAGAAGCACCTAAGAATTTGAATACAAGTTTTGTCTATAAACATCTTTCATAATGTGAAACATAGCAAAACAAGCATGTTAATGTAAAACTGAAAGGAAGTTCTGCATAACTTAAAATTTATCTTTTATAATAAGCTAATTTATAAACTTTCTATCATAATTTTTCTAAATTTTCATTTTTTAATTTTATATAATGTGTCCAAACAAACCCTAAACCTACTCCTAGCTCGTAGAATTAGACAAAATAAAATACCTGGACTATGTTGGCTTCTTTTGCGTGATGTAGTCTCTCAACATTTTCTGCAGTAATAAAATGGCTTGGATCTACAGTTTCAACACCCTGAAAATAAGGATGTTGAGATCAGTGATGAGGATGAGCACAAGTAACAACAATTCAATGTAAAACTAAAGACACTAACAATGTATGTATCATTCTGTTCATGCTTCATATTGGTGAGAGACCCCCTTACAGTTATAGTTATCAAATTTGTGTTACAGAGCATAAAATACTATTCTTTATGATATGCCAATTGTGGTTCATAAGTACCTCAATTGAAGGAGTAGAGAAATTCCCCCGGTACAACCATTTACCTCAAATTATGTATGCTTGAAGCAGGGATTCAAAGTTAAATTAATTTGGCAGCAATTTTACACAGCTGAATGAAGCACGAATTGTAAGATCCAATAACAGAAGCCAGACACACTCTGGTTCCAACAGTTTTCAATGATTGAACTCATCATAGTAATTAAAGGAATAACAATCACACATTTTTTATCTACAACATATTAATATGTATTATTTCTTCCTCGTCATTGGACAATAGCACAGAAACAATGCTAAACTTTGATAAGAGTTGGAATAGATTAAAAATAACCAAACTCACCTGTTCTTTTGCAAATTCTTCTGCTCCATCAAATGCCAGATATATATGAGGCGTCTTCTCCATAACCAATCTTGCTAATGAAATGGCATTGACAACTGTTTTGAGCCCAGAAACAGCACCACATTTTTTGGTCCTACCATCCATAATAGAAGCCTCCATTTCAATTGTGCCTTTGTTGGTCAGCACAGATCCTCTACCCGCATTAAAATGTGGAATATTTTCTAATTCACGAACCTACATATATAGAAAAGAGTAAAAATAGAAGGAAACATGCTTGAGAGTGAAAATCAAAGGAGTGCAATCATTCAGTTTTTGAGTAAGATTCTATAACAACAGAGAAGGCATTGTTTTCATGAAATATCTTTCTACTGGTATATTGGCTAAAAGCTAGATCAGATCTCCAACATTTCACTCTTTTTTTTATCACTTCTTCATGTATATTTCTACTCATCTAAAAACAATAAATCAATATTTTCATTCACCCAAGTGTAAAATCACAGTAGCATTAGTTTAGATTTCTCCACAATCTTGTACAAAAATTTAAAATAATTTTAACTTAAAAACAACTCATTTCATGTTCTCTTTTATTTTTGTGATTTGAAAGTGTTGAAGAAGAAATGTTCTAAATATACCCTAAAATCAACATGTTAACATCTTTGTGTTAGCTAAAGTAGTTATTTATCCCAAAAGAAAATGACCAAAACAGAGTAACATTATTCTGTTTTAATCTTACCACGAGCTCTACTACATCCAATGGATGCATCTTGCCCTGAAGAGCGTCAACCCCGATTTGCAGGCAGTGTCGGAGGGCTTCTTCTCGAGGCTGGCGGTGCTCCGGCGGCAGCGAAACTGGGATATCTCCGGCGCCGCCGTGTAGAGCTATAGCCCAACCCATCTCCGCTCACTATCTATCAACCTTCATTCACTCTTCTGACAATTGTAAGTAGGTAGTTACTCTTTGCTAGTTAATATAATAATGTGGAGCTTCAATGCAACATTTCTTGCATCAAATGGACAGATTCCTCCATTGATAATAATATTTGTAGGAAGAAAAATTCATGTACGATCCATTCAATATTAAAATCTCTTACACATGCATAAACTCGTGAGTTCTTCTACCTAGTTTTTTTGTGACAGAAGAATTTTGTTCAGTTCAGAATTTTAGTGACATGAAAAGTTCCTGTATGTCGTATTTACAAAGAAATTACAATGCAATCTTTTCAAATTTATTTGTACAATTACTTTCCTAACGATTTTTAGGAGAAAGTTAACAGTAACTTAGGTATAAATTAATTTGTTAAAAAAATATACAATTTTTATTTTTTAACTTATATATAAACTCACTCTAATCTAAAGAAATTTATTTAGTTTTTTTTTATATATATAAAATTGTTTATATAAAAGTTATCTATATATTAATCTGATCAGTGGAACATCGGTATAAAATGTTTACCTGTCTATATTTTCTTTAAATTTTTTTAACATTTTTTTTTAATTTTCTTTTGTTTCCTTTTCTCACTTTTTTTAATAAACTCCTTTTTTTCATTAATTATATATCAGATTTTTTTATATTTATTATCTTTTAAATATATAAATTTTAATAAAAAATTATAATAGATGTATACATGTTATGTTTTAAAACTTAAACAAAAAGTTAAGTATAACTAACAATTTCATGTTTTTAAAATAAATGATTTTTTTAATTAAAATAAAAATTGAATTAAAAAAACAAATAGGATGTAAGAGAATATTTTTTTTAACTTTTTAAATAAGGAATATATCAGCACAAATAGTCCAAATACTTCAACATTTAATAATTTCAAATGATATAAAAACTAACGTAAGTAGATGCTAATCAAACGATTTGCACGAGAGTCTATCGAAAAATTAATTAATATAAAACTAAATACTATTGCTATAGATGTATTTTTTTATAGTCATGTGGCGTAGTACCGGAGTTATAAATGTTTTTCTGTGTTGGTTTGAAACATGCTCTCAATTTCAAATCTATTTTCCAATTACAATGAATCCACAGTCTCAACTACCAAGCATTGATATCAACTTTCCAATAAAAAATGTCACAATAATAATTACGTGGTAATATTATAATACATAATTGAATATAAATTTTGTTTAGGAAATTAATTTTATAAGGTTAAATTAAATATTTTTTATTTTTAATATGATATTAAATTCAATTATAATGATATTGAATATGAAAAATTATCTTCAAGTATAATAAAATTTTATATTAATCGGATATATAAATAAATAGAAATCTTATCTTACTAAGCAAATTTTTTAGGATTGAATTAATTTTTTTTTAATATAATATCATATTCAACCGTAACACTGTAAAAAACCAGAATGTAATAAAATTTCATATAAGATAACAATACAAATTTCATATTACAAGGTTGATATTATAAGAAGGTTGTTTATTTTTAAAATTAATAAATAAATTTTTATCATGATTTGGATCCAAAAATTCACAAAGTTGTCTTGGTAAAAATTATTTGTATCTTGTTTTATCAAATATAAGTATTAAGTAAAGTAAAATTGGTTTCTAAATCTATACATTGTACAACACAAAAAATTATAACTATAATTTATAAGTTATAAATATATCCTCTCAAAATAAAATCCCCTTGAATATACTTATATCCATGCCAAAATTAAAAACAAAAATAATAATAAAGTTATCTCTTTTGAAGATCTTGTTCCAAGACTAATTGTTAGGATTTACTATTTATATTATCATAGTTGCAAAAGACACAAAATAGGATAAGATAATAATTATATTTGAATCATAACAAAGGGAATTTCTTATAAAACAAAAAATGCACAAATTATCTATCATATATTCACACACAATAGTATACTCTCATACACTCGTTACTTTATCAACGTAAAACCTCTATAATACTATATATTAAATTCAAACTAAAAAATACACTCATAGTGTAATATGTTCCCAGAATGTTTAATAGAAGAGTAATTAAGATGATATACATATTTTTACATTGACATATTTATCCGATATAATATCTTTTTCCATTATATACTAAATCATAAAAACTTCATTCCATTTTCAATTTTTTTATCTATTAATTCTTTTATTTGTATAATTCCAACTATCAATAAAATTAAGATATCTTGTATTAAACCTTTAATTCAAAGCACTCTCACACAACACCATATTCATACACGAATACCTCCCTACAACTTACTATACTATATTGCGTGATTCATCGTTTACTAAACACAATCTCAATAAATAAATAAATATATATATATATATATATATATATATATATATATATATATATATATATATTTAAAGCGTCGTTGAAACATACATCTTTAAAAATTAATCAATATTGATTATATAAAAGAAAAACAATATTAAAAATACAAACATTCAACATCAATTCTATAACACAATACTAAACCATGGATTTAATCTTTATTTTGGATAAATACATTACATAAATTTCATAATTGAACCACTATGGTACATGGATTTTATAACAATATTTAAGATAAAAATTATAAAAATAAATGAAATTTCTCATAAATTAAAATTAATTTATGCATAAACTAAATTATACTAATTCTTTCATATAATTTTCTATGTTTTTAACTTTTTAATTTTTATATAAACTAATTTTAACTTATAGAAAATATTTGATTTTTTCTTTTTATTTATCTTTCTAAATTTTTTAATGAAAAAAATTGTTCAAACAAACCATAAATCAACATTAAAAAATATCAATTAATAATTAATATTTGTATAAATTACATTGTAACAATCAATTTAGTAAACTTTATAGTTTTTATTTGACAATGAACAGTATAATATAACACTAAGAAACATATCTCTTAAAAATTTAAACAACTAATTAAGTCATGGAGAAAAGAATCTCACCAAAAATTGTTATGAAACTTGCAATACTTATAATATAAATTATTTTATTTATGATAATAACATTTAGGAAGTCTTGAACTAAAATTATGCATTACTTCATTTTCTCATACATAGGCAGTGTTAGTATGGTGTACAAAGTGTCTCTGAACTCAAAATATATTTTGATTTAAAATAGGTAAAATGGTTAATTTTATACTATAATTAAAATAAAATAAATTCTTAAAATAATTTTAATTTTAAGAATTATTTTTTATTTAAAATAAGTTTTTATTGTTAAAATATAATTTAATTTTTTAAAATTATAATAATAAAATATAATTAAATTCATAATATAAGGATTAAATTGTATTCTATTGATAAATAAGAAATTGATTGAATTATAATACACATGAAATCTGAATATTATTTTAAGGATCATTTATTCATTTATCAATTAATATTTAAACATTAATTAAAAATAAAAATTAAAAAACTACTCAACCTTTAAAATAATTGAATAGTGTAGACACGTTACATGGAGTGTCCAAATATACAGCATTATGTATTTTAGCCTTTATGGCGACTATTTTACACACGTTAAAAAAGAAAAAATTCATCCATCTAATCATATATGGGTCCACACGTTTCGATGTTTTTAAATAATGAAAAAATTAAGATAAAATTAAAAAATAAAAAATTGATAAAATTGAAAATTAATTTTCATATTATTAATTTTAATAAAAAATGAATAATTAAAATTTGTATTCTTTTAAATATATTTTTTTATAAAAATTATAATTATTTTATTTTTTATTTCATTGAATTAGATTAATTAAACCTATGCATTCACCCATCCAATATTATATTCAGATTTGAAAACATTGTTTTACTAAAATAATAGTATTTAGCTTTTTGTTCGAAATTTACAATGCCTAAGCCGGCGTGAACAGACTATTTGGATTATAATATTTCGTTCAAAAACAAATTATATATTGGTGTGCTAAACCAAACATCTCCACTATCACAACCATTTTGCCTCACCAAGTCTTAGCACAACAACTGAAGATAACCATAACAAAGGTGAAGATGTCAAGTTATTGCAAAGGTAATATTAGTTTTTTATATTTATGTGTGCTAGTTAATGTCACCATGATATATTTATGTGTGCTAATTAGTGTCTTAAGGGTTATGAATGGAAAAGGGAATTGGATGTAGGTAAAAGTTCTTGGGAGGAATTGGTTGGCATGGATGGAAAAACAGCAACACAAATCATCATGAAGGAAAACCCAAGAGTGAAGGCTTTTACAGTGCCAGAAGGATCACTTGTGACCACTGATTTTAGGTGTGACAGGGTTCGAGTATTTGTTAACTATAAGGACACTGTGAGTCGTGTGCCCAAAATTGGTTAATTGAATCAGCAGCCATTTAAATTCAATTTAGCTTTCTATATCTAATGTTTGGCTTTTGGGTGCTCAAATTGTGTTTCTTGAGCCTAGAGGGGCTATGTTATAGCTAATCAAAATAAAAAGGTTTTAATAATAAGGTCGTAAGCATGTCTTTAACCTATTCTTTTATTGACAATGATTTTTTACAATCATACAATTCTTAATTCCTGGCATAACCTTTGTTGTCTTATTCTACTTCAAAGTTGAAAATTGGGATGTTTGCATACAACAAATTTTTAAATAACAAACTACAATACACATTCAATCAATATCTACATACAGAATAGAACATTCATGCATGCGACCCAAGTTTCACCATTAAAGCATAAATTTGCAATAAAAAAGTATCAATTAACACCTTACTTCACTCATTTTATAATACCCTTTGAATATATTGATTTTATCGTCCCATTATAAAATTCTCCTTATCCGCATGACACATATTAATGTGGCTTGTGATATTGTGACTATAGTTAACCTAAGTAAATTTTAAGCATGACAGATATTGAACATGAACATGTTACATAGATGGTTCCCACAATGTATAAGTACAAAGTGTTTAACCAGTACACATGTATAATCTTTACAGTGAAGAATAACTAACAAAAAAAAAATTATAAGGTATGAAATATCATGTTAGTTATAAAATGGAGAATTTGAATAAAACTTGAAATTTTTCTTAATGATTTATCAAACTATCCAAAAATATCGATTAGACAAAATTTTCTTTCTGAAGATAAATCACAAACTTTTATAGGATTTCATAATACAAATCTTTAAAAAAATGCTTTTGACAGATAATAACTTGAAAAATAGATAAAGGAAAAATTATAGAATAAACTCATTAGTACTTATACAAGCTTTTGTGTCAATAATTATTTTCTAAACCCTACTAACTTGATTTTGTTATCAACTAACTTATTCTTCGAACCAATTATCTATTAAGTAATTGGTTATCTCTATAAGGAAGAATTTGAAATTTATATTTTTTTTGTAATAGACAGAATTGGTTATCAAGCTATCAAAGATGTTGTGTAGACAAAAATTTCGTTTTGAAAATGTTTCATAAAATTTTAAAAGATTTTATAAGATTTATATTTAGAAAATAGACTTAGAAACAAGACTGTAAATAACACACTTAATTTTATACTAATTCATTTCACTTAAACTATGTCTAGTTCTTTTATAACAAGTTGCTAAAGAATTCTATTATAATAAACTAATTCATTGTTTACTATAATCAACTAATTCATTGTAACTTTCCAATTATAACGACTACAAAATATTACTATTGACATCCTTTTAACTAACCTAAAATTAAAGCACGAATATTATTTATTACTAAATTATTTCTCATTCTTTAACTAAATTAAGTTTTTCTAAACCAAAAAGTTAATAAAATTATTAGATTTCTTATATATATAACAATTTCTTTATACAATAGAAATAATTTCACTAAGGAAAGATATATAAATAATAACTTTATCTAAAAAAATAAGTAATCATCACTAATGATTTAAATCCTTTTATTTTAAAAAGTTAACAAATTAATTCTCAAACTTAAAAGAAAAAAAATAGTTCTTTAGTGAATCAACATAGAAATTATTACTAAATGTCAAATTTATGTGTAAAAAAAATAAAATTACGTTTAATCCTTCTAAAACATTATTAAACATTAAATTTAAGTATAAAAATAAATAAAATCTTTTTAAAAATGGAAGAATCAAAATCGAGGAATTTGAAAGTGTAAGAATTACAGACAAATGGTCAAAAATTACAGAAAAATAAACATATTTTTCCGTAATATTATATATTTATATTACTTTTACTTTATCTTGTTGATATTCTATTTTAGTATCTATCTTATCCTATTTATTCTAAATACTATCCTTAAAAGTGTTCAATGGTTTTTTGTTTATCTTAATTTTATAGGTGTGCCAATGTTTCTAAAATGAGTATTTAACTCAATTTTGAAGTCTTACAATTGAATAGAAGACATGTTTTTAATTATTTCTCTCATTCTCTTGAGCAGTTATGCATATTGCTCCAAGGATAAATTTTGTCAAGCAACCCTGCTTAATTATATACATCATTTATAAACACTGCATTGGTAATTACATAAAACGCGTTTAAACTTAGCTTATTAAACAAACAAAAGAAAAGGTTGACAAGAGTTCAAAATTAATCATAAAACTTAAAATCTAATTACTTAAAATTATTTCTGCCAACAAAATTAAAAAAATAATATATATATATATATATATATATATATATATATATATATATATATATAACTACTTGTGTAGTATCTTAATAATAATAAATAATATAAAGCAAACAGCTTCTATAATCTAATTTACATACAATTCATTCTGTAATATGATATTCAGTCTTTATTTTTCATCATATAAAGATATAAAGTTGAGATTATTTTTTCAATGTAAATGTTAATTAAATGTTAGCTATATATTACTTAATTGTATCTAGGTTTTTGTTTTTTATAATTTTATTTTAAATTATGCCATTAATTATATGAAGGCACATAAAAATATAATTAAGAAAAGTTATACCTATAATTTGTTAAAAATTAACTAGACTGTTTTTATTTTAACACACATGTATGTCATAATAGTCATTCATATTTAATTGAACTTTGGTTAACATGACAAGTTGCTATCAAACAATTACAAAAGCATTAAATATTAACTATATTTAATTATTCATAAATTTTGAGCTTTTAGGTTCTTTTATTAGGTTCAGAACAACATGTTCTTAAATCATTTTCTTTAATATGTTAGTAAAATTGTATTTTCAAATTGGTAAAAAACTTAAATTTCCGTGATTTATATTTGGCATAAATATTTAATTTTAGTCTCCGTAAAAAAATTGTTAGTTTTAGATAATTGACGATTTTTAATCTTTACCTTTAACTATAGTTGGTTTAGTATACTACAAATGTAATATTAATCAACATAAGTACTAAATATTTTAAAGTAAAATAACTATATTATTTTTAAGGTGTATAATACCTATTAGTGATATATATATATATATATATATATATATATATATATATATATATATTTTTTTTGTAATTTTATGTGTTATTTTCTTCCTTATTTACAATATTAATTCTAATACAAAATATGTGATAAAAGCATAATATATTTTATTATTTTATAGTTTAATTAAATGACTTAAATACAATCTGAATCCCAACAAGAGTAAATTTCAACTAGACTAATATTTAAGTTTATACTAAATTAATCTTTTCATAATTCCTTAAACATTCCATTAATCCTCTAGGTTGTGCAATGGAACAAGATTAATCATAACAAAAAATGAATAAATATATTCTTGAAGGAAAAGCCATTCTATGAAGTATTGATGACAAAAGTCAATATCAATCTTTTAAATAGTGTTGAAGTTTATCTTCCACCATATTCTCTCATGGATAATATTACTTACAAATAATGAAGGTAAAGATACAGACGTTGCTGCAAATGTAGTTTACAGAAATTTTTTCCAAAAAATATAAAACTGCCAAACCATTCATTTTTAAACTTTTAGTGTTCTCCAACTTATTGGTTGTCAACATAAAAATATTAAATTTTTTATTGCAATTGTTAATTCTTTGTTCAATATACAAATAATTTGTGCAATAATTTGTTAAGCTAAATTTTAGTTTTACCAATTAGTTTCAAACAATTTAGTCTATTATAAAAGTGTCAATAAACATTATGCAATTATATTGTTTTTCCTCCAAAATGTGGTTCACATTAAAGTAAATAATTATATTGATGCAATAAATAAGATTGAATCTTAAATGTTATATAAATATTTGTAAAAAAATTCGGCCATAGCTAAGGTCCACCAACTAGTTTTAGTATCTGAATCAATGTCTACATTATTATATTCACAATTTATTTTAACAAAGGTACATTTAACTTTTTTCCTAACAAACTAGAATCCAAGAACAATAAAGTGAGATTAGTTAAAGCAAATAAAGGCATGTGTACCCTTAATTTAAAGAGCATCATTATCTTAATTCATTAAAATTTTAAAGTACCTTATTCACTTTGGAGAGGAAAACTTCATAAGAGCCTTTCCATAACTTGCCTTCAGAATAGCCAAGCACATTCTTTGCATTACTAGTTTCCCTCAGAATAGCCAAGCACATTCTTTGAATTACTAGTTTCCCGCATCCAGAATACCCTGAAAGGACAACTTTCCCCGATCATCAAAGTGGAAATTGGAATGCAATTATCCACTAAAATCATGACATGAGGTTCAATCAAGTCACCTTGATGATCATGATGGCTGCATCCTTGTGTAAAACCTCGTTATATTCATGGCAAGCAAAGCTCTACAATATGCAAAACTTTAGAAAATTAGAATGCAATTTAAAAAGAAATATCAATCAACCAAAAACTAATTTTCTTTTAAACCAAAAATAGCTGACAAGTTCAAATTGAAAAATAATGATCCAGACCTGAACACAATTAGGGCAACCTACTTCCGCTGAGCAGCAGCAACATGTGAGAAGCTCTAGTGCGGCTGCCAGGAACTTCGTGAAATAGGGTTGAACCTATCAAACATTCCAAAAATACCAAGAGGTGAAATTCTGGTCATTGGTTGGCACTTTGGAAGATTGTTAAACCAGAAACTAGCACGACAAATCGATTAAAACAGGATAATTTAACATCCAAACCACAACCGCATCAGATAGGTATTAATGAAAATATAAAGCAAACAAAATATCATCTAAATGGTTAGACTGGTCAGGTTACCTGTACTGAAATTCCACACCCTCCAGGATGTTGATCATATATTAGAATTCTTTCGGGGTAATAGCGGCTATCATGAGGGTTTGCACACTCAGGAGCCAAGTCAGACAAGTTGCATGTGATATGTCTGCAAGGAAATACATCGTAAAATTACGCATAAAATTAATAGAAATTACACTGAATGATAAAGAGTAACAGTATCACGCAGTTATACACTTTCCATACTATGTTTCACTACAGGGTCCAGAATGCAGAAAAAGTAAATTCCGACATCTCAATCAAGAGAAATTCACAGCCACATTTCTTACTTCAAAGACATGCATAAACAAACACGAAAAGGGGAAGCATTTGAATACAAATTGACAATCAATTATATAATTATTACCTTTTATAATCATATAATCATATTCAAACAGAAATGCCACACTCACATTTCAACTCTACAGTACCAACGGGCAATTAATTAGCAACAAACAACTTGCTAGGATAAAAGTGGCATTCAAATGATAAAAGCTACTATGCAATAGCTTTATATATTTACCTCCAGATCTCAAAAGCCTAGGAGCTTTTGTTGAGAACTTTGACCAAAACTTCTATATCTGCTAAAATAATATTACTAACAAAAACAAAGAACATCTTTGAGGTTTGCTCAAATTGCACCTGTCTTTATTTCTTTAAAAAATTAAACTAACATCCATGTTTGTCGTAAACCTTGTTTAACATTGTCAATAGGGAAATCCCCATTGTAGCTTTACATATTGGTGAAAAATAAAGGGAGATAATTGTAATTTATGAAAAGTGAAGAGCTGAGTGTAATTGAGGACGATAAACCCAGGAGAGTTGGCGTGACTGACTCTAGTAATGATAATTAATGTGAATGGGTGGGAATGAAAATGAAAAAAAGAAAAGAAAAAAAGCAGAAGTTAAATGCAAGATATTTAAAGCAAAAACAAATAAAATAGACCTCAACATATGCAGTCATATCAAATATAAATTTCATGAACAACAGTAAACAGAACTTGGATGGAAGAAATAAGGCTTCTGCATATCATGCTGATGCTGAGACTTAAAAATTAACACAAGAAACTTACAAAGGCACTACATGTAAAATTGCATGTGAAGCAGCATGCAGACCTCCACGGAAATCATAATTTTGCTTGACTACTGCTTCTTTTATTGACTGTGTCACAGGAACCCAAACTGCCTACTTGGAGTCGTAGAACAAATTAATGTCAAAACAACACAGAAGCCACATGAAATAATTAAAAGAAAGTCATAAAATAACCTTCAAAAACTGCTCAAATTACCTGTGACTCGTATGAGTAATGAGGAAGTGAGAGGTCAACAGTATCAAAGATTTGATTGCTTCCTCTCCAAATACGATAAAAGCCAAACCAAGAAGTTGTTACTTTGCATACATCAGCCCGGGCATTTGATTTTGGAAGCATGTCGGATTCTACCTTGATTGGATAAGCCTGCAAGACATGAGATTTGAAAGACCTAAACATCACTATTCCTAGTTTCAGGAATTATGTAAACTACATATTATTCTACATGGTTTATGCAGTAAATAATGCTTGTAGATTTTTACTTTACTGACATTCAGGCAGTTAGGCCTGAGTAAGAAGCTAACAATAAATCATGGTTTTCTAAAGATTCTGTGAACATGATCTAGAACAAGAATCAATTATGGCCAAATTTTAACTATAATTATACACTATAAAACTCATAAAGAGAATTCAAAGGATCTCGAGCAAGCAGTAGAATACATACAACGTTACCCCCAATGACATGAATATCAGTGTAATCTCGAGTCTTTGTGTAATACTTTAGATCAGCCTCTTTGCAGAAAGCAGTTTTATTAGATAGATCCAATTTTTCAACCAAATAGGTTTTCCCCTGGCACATATACACAGCACCTTCATATACCTGAATCAAGTTAAATACACTTCATGAGAGATGGATACGAAAAAGAAGCCAAATTACCTTTTTCATCTAGTAAGCAAAATCCTTTTTTCACATATATCAGTAACTAGAAGCACAACCTGAAAGAATGCCTTGCTTTCCTCTATCTCTTCAAGGACTACATTTTTTTTCTGATCTATGACACTGTATCGTACAGTTTCTATTGCTCGGATATTGACTGCATGTGATGGTAATTTCTGGAACATAGAAGGTACCGCAAGCAAACAAGAAAAAATAGTAATCTTACAATCTACAAATATTTTATAGAGCTCAATAATGAATAAATCAACTAGAACAGACAAACATGAAACCTAATTTAAAAAAAAAAAATCATATATACCTCAGGACCAATGTAGTTCCATATTCCAGAAGAATTACATGATAGAACAGAACTCAAGTATCCTCTAACTTTTAGAGAAATTATAACACTCTCCAAGCAAGGACCAAAATATTGTCCATCATAGTTCACACTTAGAGGGTGTTCGTGAGCTGCACAGACTAAATGTTGTTCAAGAACCTGAACAAAGTCTGTTATAGTTAGCATAAACCCTTTCATTCGTTCAAACTCAAAATAGTTAATCTTAAAGAATAATAGGTCAAAGTTAAGAACCTGCTTGTTTTGAGAATCAACATGACAACATTCAATTGGTCTTTCAAAAAGTTTCTTGGGATGCCTCATGAAGTATTGATCAAGAGGCCCACCAAATGCAACATAGACAGCAAGAGATGGTTTATTTCTCCTCCCACCTCTACCAGCTTGCTGCCACAAGCTAAAAGTATAATTGATTTAAACTACATAAATCCACATATATAAAGCTATTACAAATGTTTAATAAGTCATGGATACTAAAAATAACTGCGCAAATACCTTGCAATACTACCAGGAAATCCTAGGTGCAGAGTGGCATCAATTTCTCCAACATCAATGCCCAACTCAAGAGCATTAGTTGCAGCAACACCACATATTTTACCACCAAAAAATGAACTCTCTATTTTTCTTCTTTCCTGTCAACATGAAGCAACTAGTATTAAATCTAGGAGAAACATATGATGTCCAAAAAAATTTCAACCTATTAATCAAGAAAAAACAAAAGAATTAGCCCTACCAATAAATTGAAATGAGAAATGGTCCAAACAAGAATCTAATTTGCATTGAGGTTTTACTTTCCTACAAAACTTCCTTAATGATATCTCTCTCTCTTTCTCTCTCTCTCTCCCGCCCTCCCTCCCTCTTTCTCTCGGTATATATATATATATATATATATATATATATATATATACACACACACACATAAATTGAACTAAGGGTAAACATAGAATCTGATCAACAATACTAAGTTTCACATTAAAAAAATAAAATACATGGTAACCAAGAAAAATACAATAATATGCTGATATTGTAAAAGGTTATAAATCCGTACTCAGCAACAAGAACCAACTCTTGTCCAAATAGTCAAGACTCACTTATGCTCATCAACTCAGGCCATAGGCTCTATCTAATAACAATTTTTTTTCAGGAACAGTTTCTCTCTAACTTTTGGGTTCCTTATCTTATATTTTCCTATATGCAAAATTCATCATTTTAATCTTCATTAAAACTATGTTTCAATTTTGATTTCAAACTATAAAGAATAAAAATAAAAAAGGAGACCTCTGCAGTGTAGCCACCGCGATATGCACATATGGAATCCACCAGATGCGGGCCTGTCTCATGAAGAATCTCACGGCTGTTTCATTTGCAGCAATTCAAATGCATGAGCATCTGCCTTTTAAACCACTAAATAAAATAAACATTAATTTGAAAATGGATATCCAATAACAAAAAAATAATCTAAGAAAAGTAAATCATCAAATCACAATACTCATTATACTAAACTATAAAAGTATATGATGTTGATTAGACATACGTGTAGGATAAAACAAGCTCACAAAGTTTCCGTGATTTACAAAATGCAATACAGCGAAGACCATGCTGAACCATTTCAGCAAAAAGGCGAGAAACATCCACAATAGGGCTGCAAAAATAACAATAGGACACACAAAGGCATTCAAACTAAAGATACTTTAGAATACTGCAAACCCTAAAGTTTATGCAATTCATAAAAATATTAAGTATTCAAGACTCTTCATTTTTTATAAAGCATGTTAAGTTGATTTGGTAGTATACATTAAATCTAATATGATGAAATTGTAAATTATATGGAACTACAACTGTTTACTACTACAAATCTGAATATACTGCTTTAATTAGTCTCAAACATGAAAATAAATAGTTACAAAAAGATTATTCCTTTTTTATAATGTGTATTAATACATTAACCTTGTCCAGGATATGGACAGGTGTCAGGTTCCTTTAATTGTTTCCCACCAGAATGTTTTATCAGTTCTACTTTTTATTAAATTGAACTGTTGCTCTCTCCTTCATCCCTAGCACACTTTCTCTAGCTAGGTATAAAACAAATCCTAGGCTTTCACATACAGCTTAAGCTTTTAGGCAAGTTGATGTTGAACATGGTATTGGAATGTAACATCAAGTGGTCAGAAATCAAAGCCAGTAAAGCATGTCATTCTTCAATTTTCTTCATTAAATTAAATATCAGCCAAGATCAGATGAGCCTAAGACCACGCCTTAAGCCTAAAGGGGCCTTGCATGGGGTTAAATATAGGAGATATAAAATAATTCTTGGGAATCCATCCTATAACAATAATAACAACACATTATTATAGCTAAAATAAAACTGCATTTGCAGTAATTAAATCATGTTGGTCAACTTAGCATAAGGTTGCATTCATCAAAAGCAATAGTTGCAAAGTTGTTTCCATAAGAGGATTATCACCTTGAACGAACAAAATTAGCACTTTCATCAGCCAACTCATCACTACTCATAGCAAACTGAGCTTTTTTGATGATCTGTAGCCAATAGTAATAGAATTTATCTTGTAAAAAATTGATTTTAGCTAACAATATAAGAACTACATAATTTCACAAATATATTAAAATTTCAACTCACAGCTTTTGGACGCAAAGCAGGGTTCCAAAGGACAAAAAGTTTCCTTGTAGATGGACTTCCATCATTCTGAAATAGCTCTAGTGTAGATAAATTTGCAAGCTCCTGGGACACAGACAAATCATGGCTTAATCTGTGTGTGGCAGTACAGCAATTCCAAGAAGAATACCAAATGACCTTATAATTCTAAAATACAAAGTAAAACATGCATGTATTAAAAAAAGTCATGTACATGTGATAAACAGCATGCTAAAGAAATATGTAAAACCAATATGAAAAATGTGAGTACTTCCAAGAATTATTTACCATAGAATGCTCCCGAGGATTTGCAGAAGTTGCAGTAGAAAAAACAAAAGAAGGAACCGATCCATATACTGCAAGTAGAAGCAAATTTTTTATTCACACTTCTGTTTAAAATTTAAATACACAAATTTATATGGAAATGTATCCTGAAGCTCCACAAACCGTGTGAACAGATTCGTTTCAGCCTCCTTAAAATAAGGGCAGTGTGACTTCCAAATGCTCCCTTGTAAGTATGAGTTTCATCAATTACCACAAACCTAATTGATTAAGATAGAATAAACCTCAACACAATAACAATCCATTAAGCAATATTCCATATAAATACCAAACCAATATAGTTGATCAAATACTCCATATACCTTAGGTTTGATAAAATCCGACAAAACTGTTGATGATGGGGTAAGATTGATATGTGTAACATATCTGGATTGGTGATCAACTGCAGCATTATAACACAAAATGAGGACACTTCACCGGAATTTTTCTGGTCCAAAGGAAAAATTAGTTAATGGATTACCAATCTAGAATTATCACGTAGCCACATCCTCTCACTGTGAGAAGTGTCACCATCATATATACCAATACTAAAGTCAACATCAAATCCTTTTGTCATGTGTAACAAAGCTCTTAGTTGATCTTGAGCTAATGCCTGCATTGTGAAATAATATTTTAGCTATCCAATTAGCAATCCCCACAAAAGGGAAAAATAATATTATGATTATCTAGAGGCATTTAGACTTTAGAATTGAGAAACAAATGATAGGCTGCACAAACCTTTGTGGGAAATATGTACAAAGCACAAGAAGATGAAATTGTGGACAAAACTTCTAGAACTGGCAGATTATAGCAAAGGGACTTGCCACTAGATGTCATTGTAGCTACAACAACATTTTTGCCATGAAGGGAAGCTTGTATAGACTCTGCCTATGTAAACCATGGATCAGAAAATATTTGATTCTGAATGAGAAACTATTAGTTTGGAAAACACCATTTCCACATATTCATTTGCACCTGGTGACTGTAAAATTTGGAAACTCCAATACACTTCAATGCAGATCTCATTTTCTCCGATAGTTCAAGTGGGATCTCACTATAAATTGCTTTTCTGGCGCAGATGTCTTCAATATGCACAATCTGCATTAACCAAACATTCATAATGTAGCATTCTGTACTAGTAGGAAGCATTTGGTAGAAGGAAGGTTTTTTCATATAAAAAAAATCATGATTCCTAGGAATCATAAATCCTGAGAGTTATGGTTCCTAAGAATGACTAAATATTGTTTGGTTGGTGAAAAGTATTCCTAGAACATTCACATTAACTTTTTAGAAATCAAAAAGTAATGTGTTATTTTTATCCAAATCTTTAATTTATTACCACATTAAATGTTTTAATAAAAGCAGCATGGTATGTTTTTCAGTCAAAAATTTATTTTAACTCGGGAAAAATGGGAATTTTTTGTAGGAACCTGGGAAACCATGCTTTTTGAGAATGTTATTTTTTAAAATGTAAATAAAAAATGAATAATCTACTTTTCCAACTTCAGATTCATGGGAACCTAAACTTTCCCTCTACCAAAGCCCCCATAGAGTAAGACATGCCTTGATAAATATTCACGAGATAAAAAGGAACAATATTATAAACATTATTGTTGTGTATTGACAATACAATTGTCCATATGCAAATCATGGTTAATTAAAGATTTCATGTTATACTTCCAAAAGCCCAAAAAACTATTGCAACAAAATAGAAAAGACCTGCCCTTCTGATCCAATTCCTTTCTTAAGATGATCAATCATCTCCACAGCCAGTAATGACTTTGTGTCCTGCCAAGCCAAGAACGAGTGGTATAAAGCAGTACTATATGTTCTACCCTAATACTAGAATTTCAAGAATATATAAATCGTTTTCGTCAATATGTTTCAACTTGCAATAATTTTTAGAACCATCACTTTAAAAATCAAACCAGATTTTCTGTTGGAAGTTTCAGCTACAGACATATGCCAATTGAATCTTTTTAACAGTCAGGTTTTTTTCTTTGAACATAAGAGAATAGATGCTCTATTCTCTTCTATTTCTTTCTATCATTATCTCCATGCATCAGATAAATTTAGGATATACGCAGAAGAATAGAATTAAAAATAAAATTTGTAACTTATACGAATGCATACATGACACCCCCTATGGTTCAAGTCGTTTGTTGACGTAGTTTTGCTTCTCTTTACACGTTTTGATTTGTCTTCTTTTTTCACAAAATCATGATCCTTGACTGCTGCAAGCAACTCTTCCACGGAAATTCCCACAGTCATCTCATCTCCAAATTCAAACTGCAAATAAGAATGCACATTTTTCAGCATATTTAATATTACTGATACATTGTTCTTAATGCAGGAGCATTGTAAAAATTTTCATTTACATTTTTTGTTTTAGTCTATTTTATTTTGACTTTAAAGTGCTTTATTTGTACTAATTCATCACACAACTAGCATGTGACTTTTCAATAAGGCTTAGACTTGAGATTATGGGTGAATTTGTTTGTGCTTATTCTTTGGAAAAAGTGTTTTTTCAACAAAATAAGCAGATTCCTATGTTTTTTTTCTCTCTTTTGTGTCTGTTTAATCTGCTTATTTTAAAATATGCAGTTTTTTGCTTTTTTTAATTTCAAAAAAATCCTATCTATTTCTTAAATAAGTGCTTGTTTTAAAAATTACTTATTTCAGAAACACTATAAGTTTAAACAACCTGACCCGACAGGTGAAGCACTTGTTGAATTTGATGAAGACATATAGAGTTTATTTTGTGGGTGTGTAGGTAGATAGGTTATAGGTTTAGAATTTAATCTCTTGATAATTTCAGTATATCTTGTGATAAGCGCCTATAAATGTTGCATTTCATAGAATTTATCTTACTGCATGAAAAACCAATCTTTAAGTTTTGAAAGAACTAACTGAGTTTTTCAATCGGTTAAAAAGCAGTTTTAATCTGTTGAAATCACTTAAAATAGGAAATGTATATATACAACCAATATTTTAATTGATTGAATCATAGAATCAACAGGTTAAAATGTTCTTGATGGTTTTTCATATTAAGGGTTTCGCAGTATTAATATGTTGAATTGATAAATCAATAGATTAAAATGTTCTAGCCATTTTTTATTTCAAAAGTATCTCAGATTTTTAATCTGTTGAAATCAATTTCAATATGTTGAAACAGAGATATACCATTTTTCATTTTAAGGTATATCAAAATTTCAATCTGTTGAAACAGAGAGCTACCATTTTTCTTCTAACTGTTTCAATCCATTAAAAGCTCTAATTAACCGATTAAAAGAGTTTTAAATAAAATCAATCGATTGAAACATCATTTTAAATCGATTAAAACTGTCAGTTTCTCTCTTTTACTCTATAAATACAGATTTGATTTCTCTTTCAAAGATACAATTTGGAAAACGATTGAAAGCAATTTTAGAGCTCTCATATTCGTGTTTTTCTCTGAGCATTCATACACATTTCATATCATAAGGCGTTTTGATCAAAATTGTTGAAAGATCTTCAAGAGAGAAAGTTCTGAGTTAGAAAAATTGCTTCTGGACTTCTATATTGTAAAGGTTGCAGTCCAGGTTTATTCTTTTCATATACTTGTACGAATTCTAATTGTGTAGATTGAGTTTGAATCTGCACTGATTACAGTAAATGGATTTGGTTGCTGGGTGGTTTTTCAAGAGTCTATCTTGTGGTGTTGTAAGGTAGTTCTTAGGGTAGATTGGTGTATATCTACTGGTTTGTGTTTTCACTTGGTATTAGTGGAACTTGGCAGATTTGTCAAGAACTGGATGTAGCTCTTGGGAAGAGTGAACCAGTATAAACTCTTGTGTTGTATTTCTGCTTTTATCTCTTTTCATTTTTGGTTTATATTCTTGTTTTGTTTAAAACCAAATCTGCCTAATAAAAGATTGGATAAAGATTAATCATTCTTCCACAAAGAAAGAGTGTTTTTCGAAAAAGATTTCTAAAGTTCAATTCATCCCTCCTCTTGAACTCAACCATTAATTCTTACAACAGGGACTATGAAATATTGTGCTAAAAAAATGCGTATAAACCTAGTATAAAACAATCCTAGAAACCTTTATTTATCACTTTGGTCATTATGTTACAGTTTCAAAATGAAAGGTTTCTACATACTAGGTGCCCTCTTTTATTGTTCCAGTTGAATCTATCCTACTTCTCTTCCCACACTAAATCATTTTAGTCACTGTCTATACCATTTTTTTACTGCATCAGTTCCTTCAGCAAAGAATGTCCCGTGCCTTGCCTACCTAATAACTTAGATTTTATGGATTAAACCCATTCTAAGATAATCCTAACACAATTCCCTATCATGAAAGCCAGCTATTGTGAGTGAGATTCATGAATTTAGAATGGGAACAAAAAAATTCCACATTACTAAGTGAAATATCAATCGAAGTTTTGGCACATGGATGTATAGGATACAATGCAAATTCTATGATAATTTTACAATCAAAGTTTGTTTCAGGAGTAAATTTTTATCAATTACAGCAACTTTCTGTAAACATAATTGGGTACACAATGGATCATTCATGAAGAGTGAATAGAAACACACCGGCAGCTGCTCAAAAGCCCACCCTAGAATTTTTCGGAAAGAACTGTCCCTTCTCTTCAACGTACTGACAATCTTTGAAACATACAACCACTTGCGCACTGTTAAACAAGGCATGTCAAGAAAAATTGAAAAAAAAAAAAAAACAAAAAAAAAACACTATCCTGATGAAATAGAAGAATATCAGCAAATATGAGCAACAAAACTCCACATCTTCGGTATACCTCTCTTAGGATTGTCTTCAACTTGATTTTCATTGCCAGTTGAATGATTAAGGACAACAATGATATCACCAAAACTTGTCTTCTCTGCATCCCCCCCAAAACATAACAGCTGCAAAGGATTCAATCCACAAATTAGAGAATGAAAGTGCAATACACTGTAATCATTTCTCTGTTCCAGACAAAGCATAACAAAAAGAATGCATTGAACATGGGACTTCAAGGAACAATCGTTATTCCTACAACCTCACCTTTAGTTAATAATAACAGACAGACATACAATACACCACAAAATGAATAATAATTAAACAACCAACTACAAAATACCATCACAAAACTAAAAAGGAGAAACAAAATCAATCAATTTACATGAGGACAAAGAAGCGAAAGATTCTTTATGTCACCGAGGCCAAGTGTAACCCCAAACATAGCAAGCTCACTAAGCGCCTCCTCCAGCAGTTTTGAGGTCAAAACCCTACGCTCCAAATAAATAAACGCGGAAAAAATATTCACAAATGCAAACGCCTTCACCACTATCTTCAACCACGGTGGACACAAACACATAGCACCATCACTGACACGTTTTCTCAGGCCGCCACCACCACCTCCTTTCGAACGAGCCTGTTTCAGCAACTTGCAGTATCCGAGCGGCAGTTCCGATAAACAATTCACAGACTCCAAAACCTTCGCGAAAACCTCACAATTATGTTCGCCAAGTGCACCACCCTCGCAACTATCTCGCAATGTGTTCAGTATGAGATGATACGGAAGCTCTATCTGCTTCTCTGGTCCTAAACCCCCTTCGGTTGAGGTCTCCAACGGTTTTTCTTTTCCAGAGTTGGAATTAGACGCATTATTCTCAGCGTCATCGCGCAAAAGTGATAAATCCTCCTTAATGGAGGACCACGTAGAATCCGCGAGATCACAGGTTGAACTTGAAGCATTAGCAGTGTGAGGAACATTTGAAGAAGGCTGAGCAGAGTCGGATGTTCTAGAAGGCTCATTCTCCTTTTTGGCAAAGGGAATGAGGACGAGGAACTCGCCGCATTGGATGGAGTACGAGGCAATTTGAGCCTGCAATCGCAATTTGTCACCCTGATACAAGCAATGTGTTAGTTAGCTAGTTAGTAAATGCCGTTATGCCATTACTTCGGGAAAAAGGAGAAAAGTAAGTGCGACGTTTGGTGAAAGAGGAAGAGAGTGTGGTGGTGCCTTGAAAAAGAGGTGGAAATGGGGGGAGGTGGTGGCCGGCGGGAATGAGTGGCGGAGGAGAAGCTTGAGGTGGTGGATGGTTGTGGTGGGAGTGATGGGAAGAGTGATGGATTCGCCGGTTAGGGCACGGATTTGGATTTCCTTTTCTTTGCTCTCTGCCATCGTCTTTCTAACAACACGCGAACTTGGTTCAGACCTTGCTCGCCTGCTATGTACGCCTTTTTGTTTTCAACCGCAAGGAAAACTTCGGTTGGAGTTAGGGGTTTGGGGGTGTGACTTCTACTAAAATTAAACTCACTGATTCGATTTTGATTTATTTAAAATAAAAAAAATAAAAAAACCCAGTGTATTTTTTCGGACAAGTTCTTTGAACCTTCCTAATTCGATTGTTTTAATATTATCTTAAGAATATATTTTTTTAACTATATTATTTAATAAAAAAAATTATTTTTGACAATATAGCAACATGTATTTTTAATAAATTTGTTAATTTTAAAACAAATATATATAAATCATAGCTTCCTTTAAGCTTTATATTTTCGTTTATTTATGATTTAACTATACATAATGATATTGTATTACACAGTCTTTGGTTTAGTTGATCAAGTTTAATGTTATTTTCACTTAATTCCATCTTAATCATGGGGAAATTCAATATTTTCACCTGGTAAAATGCGATATTTATACGGGATGTTCAACTAAAACTTCACAAAAAAATATCTATGTTAATATTAGGCGTTGAGATGATATTTGTCTAATGTTAATATATATATATATATATATATATATATATATATACATATATATATATATATATATATTGTACTTTCTATTGATAAAAATATAACGTTTGGAAGAAAATTTTAAAAAAATAATAGGAAAAAAATTAAAACCATGAAATAAATATTTTTTTTCTGTCATTAGAATATATATGGTAATTTTCATTCAATATTTGCCTTTGGGATTTTTGTAGTTTGCTTTTGCAAAGCATAATTGATAATAAAGACAACAAAATGGACAAGCAAATATACTTACAATTAAATGTTCGCTTTACACGTTTTCTAACCGTAATTCCTATTATATTTGTATTTTATTTTATGTGACGTATATTATGATAAAAAATTGAAGTTGATATTATTATAACATAATTGTATCATCTTTTGCTCAGACTGATTAGGATTCCTAAAAAAGTAATTGTAAAACAAATCCTGAGCAACAGAAAGGTACACTGGCTATTTCTTTTAAATGGCAAAAAACAAATTTAGCTATGGCTAACTATTCTTTGGCATGCACATAATACGTCCATTATTTTAAACCAGAATGTCTTTAGATATGATTAGTGATGTGTAAAAGTCGTCTAGAACAAATGATGCTACTCATGGACATTAAAATTTAATTCGTGAACTAATTGAATAGGTTGATTCTATCTAAACTAATTTAAGAGGTAGTCAATAATGTGAAATAACCTATTCAATTATTTGCTAATTAACAGAACAAAGCTATAAAGTGCAAAAATTGCATAATCAATAACCTAATTTATTAATTGAATGTAAAGAATAGTATTTGAATGCCGAAGACTATCTAATTGGTTAATCAATCAAGATTTCTGCCAGTGAGAAAAAATGAAATAGAAGTTCCATAAGTGATGATATAAAGTGGATGAGTTTTATTTTATATCCATAAATCGATAGACTAGTAAAATTACACATTCAACCTTTTTTACTTGAAAAGAATTGACTGAAGTTGTAACCTTTCATTGACAACAGTGGCAAGATATTCTTCATCTTGTTTTTCCTTTGCAGCAATAACAGCAGCAATATATTTTTTTCTAGCTTCTTCCATTTTCTGCATTTCCATCTCGTCCAAATCATCCTGTTCAACCAATATCAATTTCATATGTGAATAATAGGGAAAAAAACTATAATAATAACAATTTATAATTTTTTTATTTCAACAATGTCTAACAAATATATTTTTATTTTGGATATGTAGAATTTCAGTTATATATTTATTATGTTTAATTTCAGTTATATATTTTTAGAATGTATCTCCATTGTATTTAATTAACATATCTATCGATGCATCATAGCTTCCATGCAATCACCTTCCTTCACCGGCCATCTTCCCCACCACTCGTCCAGTACCAGGCGGACGCACGTTCCCTGCCCTTCCACAAGATTACCACCAAGTTTGCCTTCGTCACTCAAACTTGTAATTGTAACCTTTATGTCTTGGTATTTATAATATTGACCTTAGATACTTGATTCTGCTCCATCTAATTACATGACTGGTGAGTTAGTTACGGATCTTTGTTTATTTTTTTTGTTCATTTGACTAATTTTGACTCATTGCCAAATGTTATTCTAGTTACCAATTTTCCAACCCTTTATGGGATAAATTCAAAATTATTTTGGTACCTCTCAAAATTTTATGCACAAATAATGTTTGTGAATGTTTGCCTACACTATTTTAATCTCAACAAGGAATTCTCCTTCAAAACTTTTGTGCCCACATCCTAGAAAAATAGTGCTGCGTACAGGAAAAATCGTCAAAACAACTCGTAATCTATTACTTCACTATAATATGTTCCTCTTTGACTTTCGTTTTCCATTGGAATCATGTTACTTGATCAATGGCGTTCCTTCCTTTGTCCTTTAAACCCAAGTTCCCCACTCTTTTATAGTTCAATCACAACAAAGAACTTTTCAATTTGATATGAATCTCAAGAGGTGATTTAAGATCATTAAAGTTAAAACCTTTTACGAAATTTAGGAATTTAGTTATAAGGTGAAAAGAAATAATCACTCTTCCCAAGGAAGACAACTCACAAAGGATGTGCAAGTCATTTGATGCAGTCAAGGGTTCTTGAATCACTCAAGAACTTAGGAAAATCATTCTCACTAGAATAAAAGAGATAAACTCTAATATTTCTAAAAATAAAACTCAACTTGTTATTCTGATAAAAATGATTCAGCTTATAAAGAAGCTTTGTCATCAGAGTTACAAAGATTTACTAAAAGAAAATAAATGTTAATAATAATTTATTAACCTAGGAATTGAAAATTAGTTAATGGTTGATTGTAACTGAAATTGTAGCAACCAAAATTCAATCAGTTACACACCCTCTTGGTCTCCTAAAGACTGATAACTAAATTTTCAATTGGGCCCTTATTACAACTTGCAATAAAACCAAACTAAAACTCATTAATTGATTAATCCAAAACACAATTTGGTCAACCAACAATACTTGTTGAAAAACTTCATTTGTTTCCCTTACTCTAGCCCTTATCATAGGTCAAGTTCGCATCATTCTCTCCCTCTTGAAAAGGATTTGTCATCTACCTAAAAAAGAGATAAGTTTGACAAATTAAATGTAGAACTAACATTATACTCACTTTTTATGGCTAAATAGCTCTCTCTCATTTCAAGTATTTCACTCTTCTTTTGATCACTCTTTTTCTTCTCAAGTGTTTCACTAACTTTTTTTTTTCTCTCTTTTCTTAAAGAAATTTTTCTCACATTTTTTTTTATCCTCCTCTGCCATCAATTTGATGTTCAAACTTTTAAACCGGGGCTCTGAATACCAACTGATGTGAACCACAAGGGGTGATTTAGGATCTTTAGGGTTAGAACTTTCTAGGAAATTTAGGAATTTAGTTATAAGGTGGAAGGAAAGAATCACTCTTCCCAAGGAAGACAACTCACAAAGGACGTGAAAGTCCTTTGATATAGCCAATGGTTCTTAAATCACTCAAGAACTTAGGAGAATCACTCTCACTAAGATAAAAGAGATAAACTCTAATATTTCTAAAAATAAAACTCAACTTGCTATTTCTGATAAAAATGGTTCAACTTATAAAGAAGTTTTTGTTAGAAATAAGTCAAAACTGCTTTTCTTCTGTTTCTGTACTGGGTATAAATACGTTTATTCATTTCACATAATATACGTAATTCCTATCATTCTTCTGCATGCATGCATAGTTTCTATATGGTATTAAGAGCCAGAACGATTTAGTGAAGGGGGTCTTCCAGTCCGTGAGTTGAGAAATGGTTCTCTTGTTTGTGATTCTGCCAGACTGTGTGTGGCGTGTCAGGGTGTTTTTGTGAAGCACGTGTGAAGTTCAAAGAAACCTATAGCGATTCTTCAAGAAACGTTCAAAAAACATGGTTGGACTTGGTGGATTCATTCCTGGAGGGTTGCTCATGTTCGATGGAAGCTGTTTTGATGATTGGAAGATCAAAATATGCGCGGTGTTTGGATTCCAAGATGTGGCCGAAGTGATCGAAGTTGGCGTCGTCGATCCCGGTAGCAAGGCATCAAACGAAGAGAAGAGGAATTACAAACAGATGCAGAAGATGGATAGCAAAGCCAGGTATTTGCTATATCAATGTGTGAATTCTGAGATCTTTAACAAAATTTCAATGGCTGAAACGGCTAAAGAAATATGGGAGATTCTCATCAAGACTTACGGAGATAGTGACAAGCACAAGCGAGTGAAGTTGCAGGCCCTACGTAGAAGCTTTGAGTTCTTGATAATGGAAGACAACGAATCTGTGGCAAGTTACTTCAACAAAGTTCAGACTGTAGTTAACGCCATGAAAAGTTGTAACAAAACATTGTCTCAAGAACACGTGGTAAACAAGATTCTTCGTTCTTTGCATCCAAAGTTCGACCATCTTGTTATCACAATTGAAGAAACAAAGGACATCGACAAGCTGAGTATTCAAGAATTACAACACTCGTTGGAGGCTCACGAACTACGCATGAGAGATCGCAAATCGTATCAGGAGTTGGTTCTTCAAGCAAGAACTTCATCGAAGCCAAAGAAAGATACCAACAAGGGTCACAAATCCAAGAAGAAGACTGATCCAAAGTCGAAAGATGGGAATGGGAGTAAAGACAAGGTGTTTGGCAAAAAGCGAGTGAAATGCTATAACTGCCAGAAGTATGGCCACTTCGCACGCGACTGCTGGCATGGTGATGGAGCGAAAAACAAACCCAAGTCTCAGTCTCAGGCAAATCTCGCACAAGAAGAGTCGTCCGATTCTGAAGCTGTCTTACTCATGGTTCAGACCAAGAACGAAGACAATGATGATGACGCATGGTATCTTGATTCCGGGTGTTCTACCCATATGACTAGCCGGAGGGAGTGGTTTGTGAAATTGAGTAATGAGACTCAAGAACAGGTGCGATTTGCAGACGACAACTGTTTGCATGCAGAAGGGAATGGACGAGTCGTGCTAAGAAGCTTCGAAGGAGAAGAAGTTATAGTCGACGACGTCCTGTATGTCCCTGGGTTACGAACCAATTTGCTGAGTCTTGGCCAATTAATGCAGAAAGGGTTCAAGATGGTTACGGAGGAGAATTCCCTACGGGTCTATGATCAAACAAAGAAGCTTGTCATTTGTGTTGCACTATCATCCAATCGTACGTTTAAGGTAAAAATAACTACGTTAAACCATAAGTGTTTTGCGAGTTGCGGTGAACGAGAGAAGAGTGGTTGTGGCACCTACGCTTTGGTCACTTGAACTTCGAAATTTGAGTGAGCGAGCGTTAAAGGAATAGTTGAAGGGATGCCTCGTGTGTTTGTGCCAGAAGAAGCGTGTCATGACTGTGTGCAATGCAAGCAAACGAAGAGCAAGTTCAGCAAATTCGTTGCCACCAAAACAACGAAGGAGTTAGAACTGGTATATTCTGATCTTTGCGGACCATTTCCTGTGAAAACACCTGGGGGCAGTCGGTACTTTGTGACCTTCACGGACGACTACACCAGGAAATTGTGGACGTTTTGCCTAAAGCGAAAAAACGAGGTCTTTGACACATTCGGGAGGTTCAAGACTCTCGCTTAAAAAGCGAGTGGTTGCATGATAAAGCGACTACGGTCGATGGAGGAGGTGAGTATAACTCACTTGGAGTTTCAAAACTTCATGGCTGAAATGGGAATCACACACGAGGTTACACCGCCTCACACACCGCAACATAACGGAACCGTTGAGAGAAGAAATAGAACTCTCCTCAACATGGCTCGATGTATGCTCAAAAGTAAAAACGTGCCTATGTATATGTGGGGAGAAGCAATTGCAACAGCAACCTATATTCTAAATCGCACACCTACGAAGAGGGTGGAGGGAGTTACACCGGAAGAAGCCTGGTCAAAACGGAAGCCGGATGTCAAGCATCTGAGAGTTTTTGGTTCCCTGTGTTTCCATAAAGTGCACGAAGTGCAGCGAACCAAATTAAACGACAAAGGAAAGCCTATGGTGATGATTGGTTATCACCTTCTTGGAGGGTATAAGTCTGTTTGACCCCGAAACCAAGAGTGTAACTATCGGCGAAATGTAGTTTTTGATGAAGCCTCTAGTTGGGAGTGGGAGACGAATAAGGTGAATGAGGCGGCGAGAGGTGGTCCGAGTTATTGCGCTAGAACACGATGATGCGGCAGATTCGGTGAGATTGAACCGAAGATGATGCAGCAGATTCTAGTGAGATTGAACCGAAGAAGATGTTCAGCGGCTTCGAAGATCCAGCGTCAAGGACAACAACCAACTCGTTTCGAGAGATTATGAAATGTTTGGTGTTGTTCCTGAAGAAGGAAACCCAGTGCATTTTGCATTGGCGCGAGGCGGAGCCAGTGGAGTTTGAGGATGATGTGCGTGATGAAAAATGGAGAAAAGCGATGTGTGAGGAGATAAAGTCCATTGAACGTAATGGAACGTGGAGATTGGTTAATCTTCCACCGCATAAAAGGCCCATAGCATCGAAGTGGGTATTCAAGGTTAAAGTCAATCCCAAGGGAGAAGTGATAAGGCATAAAGCCAGGTTAGTGGCTAAAGGATATTTGCAAAAGGCTGGGACTGATTTTGGAGAAATATATGCACCCGTTGCTAGGCTTGATTCAATCCGAGTAATTATCGCTATTGCAACATTAAACAAGTGGAGAATGCATCAGCTAGATGTAAAAGTAGCTTTTCTAAATGGGTTGCTTGAAGAGGAGGTATATGTAACTCAACCGCCAGGATTTGAGGTTAAGGATGATAAACTGAAAGTTTACAAGTTAATCAAAGCTCTTTATGGCTTGAAGCAAGCCCCACGGGCTTGGAACAAAAGAATTGATCAGTTTATGCAGCAAATTGGCTTTGAAAGATGCACCACAGAGCAAGGATTATACGTGAAGTATTGGATCAGCAATGGTCAAGAAGAAAAGTTACTCGTATGCCTCTACGTGGATGACATGCTTGTCACAGGAAGTAAAGCAAAATATATCAAGCAATTCAAACATCAGATGACCACTGAATTTGAAATGAGTGACTTGGGGGAACTCAATTATTTTTTGGGAATTGAGTTTATGCAAACAGATCATGGAATGTTAATGCACCAGACGAAGTATGCAAGAGACCTGTTGAGCAGGTTCAAGCTTCAAGACTGCAACATAGCAGCTACACCAATGGAAACAGGGGTTGAAGTTGGGAAAGAATGAAGATGAGGAACCTGTGGATGAATCAGAATTCAGGAAAATGGTTGGGTGCTTGAGGTATTTGTGTTGTACAAGACCTGACCTAAGTTTTGCGGTTGGAATAGTGAGTAGATTCATGCGGGAACCTAAACAAACCCACATGAATGCTTGTAAAACGTATCATGCGTTATGTGCAAGGGACAAAGAACCTTGGCTTGCTTGTTTCCAAATAAAGGGTGCGAAGGAAGTGTTGAGCTGAAGGGATACGCGAGATGCTTGATTGGTGCGGAGATCGGATTGATAGGAAGTCCACTGCTTGGATACATATTTTTCTTCTGTGGGTCACCTGTCTCATGGCATTTCGTGAAAGAACCTGTTGTAGCTCCTTCCTCTTGTGAAGCAGAATACATTTCTGCTTCTCAAGCTGCGTGCCAAGCTGCATGGTTAGCAATGCTCTTAGAAGAGTTAAAGGTGAAGATGAATAGTTGTCCAAAATTAATGGTGGACAATAAATCTGTTATAGACTTAGCAAAACATCCTGCTGCTCATGGTAGGAGCAAGCACATTGAAACTAGGTTCCATTTTTTGAGGGAACAAGTCAATCAAGAGAAGCTTGAAATCGTTTACTGTAAATCTGAGGTTCAGTTGGCAGATATATTTACCAAAGCCTTAAAAGGGGAGGGGTTTAGGTATCTGAGACAATCTATTGGAGTTGTAAAACCAGTTTGACTTAGGGGGTGTGTTAGAAATAAGTCAAAACTGCTTTTCTTCTGTTTCTGTACTGTGTATGAATACGTTTATTCATTTCACATAATATACGTAATTCCTATCATTCTTCTGCATGCATGCATAGTTTCTATAGTTTTGTCATCAGAGTTACAAAAATTCACTAAAGGAAAATAAATGCTAATAATGATTTATTAACCTAGGAATTGAAAACTACTTAATGGCTGATTGTAACTGAAATTGTGGCAACCAAAAGTCAATCAGCTATACACCCTCTTGCTCTCCCAAAGCCTGATAACTAAATTTCTAATTGGACCTTTATTACAACTTACAATAAAACCAAACTAAAATCCATTAATTGATTAATCCAAAACACAATTTAGTCAACCAATAATACTTGTTGAAGAACTTGATTTATTTCCTTTACTCTAGTCCTTATCATAGTTCATATTTGGATCAATTAAATATGTCCATCATCTCACCCAAGTAAAGACAAACGCTGCCAATCTCTCAAAAGCGTTTTTCTTAGCTACTCACATCTTCATAAAGGTTGTCAATAATATTTTCCCTGACTTCAACAATTTATATTATCTTTAGAAATTTCACCTCAAAACCAGCCCTTTCTTTTCTCCTTCATACGGGCACTATGCAACCATGGCAGCCAATTTTTAAACTCTGGTTAACTACTCCTCCACTATTCCTCTCAACTCTTGTCGTCATTTTCACTTCTTTGATCACCTACTAGTGCAAGGCTCAACATCAACCTATATCTTCTTCCCCAATTGACCCTCCATGTATGTCACTTACACTTGAGCTTTCCATTGTGCTATGCAAAGGTATTTGGCCCTCACAACCCTAATCCTCAGTATGTTTATACTTTGAATTATGATCTCCTATATCTTTTTTGTTTCCTCTTTGACTATGCCCATTCCCAAATTTATAGAAACCATGATGTCATTTGTTGTCGTTGGGTTTAAACAGTACAGATTGGGTAGGAGGGTAACAAAAACTAAATATTGTGCTATGGCAACAAGTATGCGAGCTAACATTAGATAACTACTCAACAGGCTAAAATGGGGAGATATTCAAGAGACAAAGCTTATATGCAACAGTAGTTATACTCCATATTACATCATCATATCCATTCTTTCATGACAAAGACTAAACAAACACAGATTTATTGTCATTTTTGTTTCAAGGAGAAATTACAACTTTGTGTGCTCCAATGATAAGTTAGGTAATATATTCACTAAATTTCTTTGACGTTTTCCGTTGAATATATTTGTAATAAGTTTTCCACATACGACAAATATATTCCAAATTTTGAATAACATGTTTTACAACTTTCACACATGTTAATATTTGTCAATGTAAGTGTCCTCAAATCAGGAATTTGATTGGTTCCCTTTGTATCTAGGATTGTACCCTGATTACTCATTGTCAATAACAGATATGTGCAGATATTCGGTACCACTGGGGTGATAGATGGACCATATTAGATAAAGAATGAGTTACAATATGATTACTGATTTTTAAAGAGACTCAATTCTCTCCTAAGTACTAATTACAAGTCAAATGCACTCCCAATAGTGTTTCCTTCTTTTATTATTCTGAAAGACTTAATCATTACTTCTAACTAACTAACTAACCATCATATTATTATTTAGTTATCATTACAATGACATTATTCAATTTATGATCCACTACAACTTTTTTATGTCTCCTATCATAGATTCTCCTAATTGAAAATGTTTATACCTATCACATATACAGCAATGTGCAAAAATATGCAGCTTGTTCATAATAAATTGTTAATAACTTACTATACTAGGCAAATGATTGAACTCATATGGCTTAATATCATAATGATCGGCTTGTTCAGCTGGGTCAGGAATCGTCAAGCCTTTAAGCAACAATGTAAATGATGAAATATCTTCTTGCATGGAATCTAGCTGTTCATGCAATTTCTCCATTTTCTTGTTAGATGTCATTGTTTCCCACTGTATCTTTTCAATAGCCGCTTGTTTATCAGCAAGCTCAATCTGTGGAATACGATTACTATTGAGTTTGAGAGAGAACTTTCAAAATTTCTGCTACAAGAAATGAGCATTTTGTTCTTATATTACCATCAGATCCCCAAACAGGACAATGCAAAACAAATGTATATAAGATATGGACACGACAGTTGAATTTTGATGCCTTTCTATCTTTTTATATTTAAAAGATTCAGAAAGTCGAAAATAAAACTGTAGTGTCAATTTTAATAGTGACATGCATCAAATTCTTTACCAATATATTTCTAAGAATATACAAACAGTAGAATAAAACAAAAAGTAACAATTGAAACTTCCACTGTGCATTCAACTGATTTATAAACCCATGAGAATTTTAGGATCCAACTTTCAAAACCAATCAACAGTCATGACTATCCTGTTCCGGGGACATTGAACAGTGTATAAGTGAAAGAGTATTATGAACATTATAATACTTATCACATTCTAATGAATTTTGCAACTAGTGATAAATTATAAATGAGAAAAGAATAAGTAGATTAGTACCTTCACATCAAAGAGTTGTTGTTTTGTGGACTTCAGTAAAGAGTCCTTTTCTGAAGCCTGGTGTTTCAGTTCATCAAGTTTTTGTTCAAGAGCTTTCATCGGTTTCTTTGTGTTTTCTCCCAACTCTATGAGTTGATCTTTCTCCAATATTTTCTTTTGCAGCTCCTCTACCTTCTCCTTCAATATGACGCGCTCATCTTTCTGTCCTTTTCTCATATCAAACCTCTAAAAAGAAAAAAAAAAAAACCATCAGTGACAGAATTGTTGCTACCATTTTGTACTTGTTATTTTCCTATGATCCTTTCTTTTAATCAGGAAAAAATTGACCAACAACTCCTGTCTATTAAATATGTTATCTACCACTAAATAAGAAATATTCACTACGGTGATAATGAGAAAGAAAGATCCGTCAATGATAAAGTCACAACATTCTAAGCACCGTAAATTTAATAGTCACGCTACAATGTATACAAAATACATAACACAACATTCTAAGCACAGTAAATTTAATAGTCACGTCACGATGAATACAAAATACATATTGAAGGAGGAAGGAAAAGAAAAATTCCCGGATGACATTGGCAATAGCAACTATCAAATACAAACCCATCCACACACAAAAATAAAATAAACCTGAAACTAAAAATGACAAGATACAATTGTGATTATGGACACACATATGTAACAAACATTTAACGAGAAATAGCAACTATTCAATGAGGTAGGTACAAATATTCAGGATCTTTTATTGAATCCTAATTTCAGACAGAAATAACAAGTTCTACAAAATTTTCAGCAAAAGTCATCTATTTAGTCAGTGAAATATTACCCTCTCTCCTAAATACAGTAAACTAACAAAATTATGTGAGTAAGTATTGAATATCATTCAATTTAGTTTCGGTGATACATTGTAACAAGTCCCACATCGGGGAGTTCTCTTTACCAGAGAGACCTTATAAGGTGGGAGGTTCTCCAACATCTTGAACTAGCTTTTGAAGGATGGTTTCCCTCCTTAACATTATAGTTGTTACATTGGTGCTTTCGTTGAGAGCCAGCCAACTCGAAAAGCCAACTCGAAAAGGGTTAGTCACGGAGCCTTGTTACATGTATATTTCACTAAAGATTATAAGAAATTTTCAATACTTTACTCACTAAGCAGTACCATTATAATACTTTCAAAACTAGATATATAGCTTCATCAGTTTTTAAGAACTATTTCCGCTAAAGAGTGATACATCATAGCCAAAGTGATGGTTTGTTAAAATTTTCATCTAAAATTGCCATCATACCTACCAACTCCGTTCACTAATCACAACCACCATCCATCCATCACCACACAACACAAGAATGTTAACATAAATAACACAGGTAGCACATTAGAATCAGGTGGCAGCTTTCAGCATTTTATATCCAATAACAATTGACATATGACCTGTCGAATAAGAGTTCAAAGTGATAGTGTCACGCTCTTACAATTTTCAAAAGCGACTTCCTTGAAGGTCTCTTCGTGTATACCATGGAACCCTGACGGGTGAATGAACTTCTCTCTTCACCATCCTAATCGAATTTAATGAACGTAACAGTGACGATTAAACCACCGCGAACGACTTACAAACCCACGTGAGAGCGTTTTAAAGTCATGAGAATGGAAAAAAGAGCTTACGATGAAGGATTGCACTAGAGGGACAATCTGAACGAGGTCGTTGAAGAGAACGGGATCCATATCTGTCTCATGCTCATGATGAGTGTCTCTCGCCGAAAGCAGAGAATTAGGGTCGCACAAATCCCGTTTTTCTTCCAAACGCTGCCTTTCATGCATTTTTTGAAAACGACGAGGAGACACGGAACGCCGAAACGAAGCTCGTTTTCGCTTCGAACACAGAAATTTTATATATTTTCAAGTATTTTAAATTGTTCAAAAATTTGAAGTATTTCAAAATTTTCAAAACAATTACATAAAATTCATCTTAAAAATATTAAACGTAATTAAAATATATATTTGAACTTTTTTAAATAATAAATTTTGCATTAAATCGTAGTTGATGCTCTCAAAAAATAATTTTTAAACATTACATCAATCATATATATATATATATATATATATATATATATATATATATATATATATATATATATATATATATAATTTTATTAAATCAATACATTGTTGAGGTGTAAAGATCGGTCAAAGATAGGGAACTTCCTTGCAACTTCCTGGTCAAAGGAAGGCTACTTCCTGCAACTTCCGGTCAAAGGAAGGGAGCTTCCTCGCAACTTCCTGGTCAAAGGAAGGGAGCTTCCTCTCAACTTCCTCTCAAGAAGGATTTGTTTGGCTATAAATACCTCATTTTGTAACCTCATTTGTATCAATCCAAGTGTGAAGAAAGAGTAGAGAGAGTGTATTCATACGGGCTTGTGTGAATTGTAACATTCTGGTTTATCCTCTTATTCTAGTTCATTCTCCTGGCTTGGTTCGCCCCGCGATGTAGGATTTAATCCGAACCGGGTTAACAAATATTCGTGTCTTTTATTGATCTCACATTGGTGTATTATTATTATTCCATCTTATCCGACCTTATTTCCCAACAACCGGTATCGAGCCAGGAGGTTGGAAATAAGATGGAGGGAAAGATTCAAGTCGAACGGTTCAATGGTTCCGACTTTGGATTCTCGGCGAATGCAAATGGAGGCTTACCCGTACGGGAAGGACCTCTACGCACCTCTTTGGGAAAAACCCGAGAAGATGAGCGATGATGAATGGAAGGTGCTCGATCGGAAGGCGATGAGCGCTATAATTCTTTCGCTCTCTCGAACGTCGCCTACCATGTGAAGGGAGCAAAAAGCACGAAGGAGGTCTTGCAGATACTCACCGACATGTATGAAAAACCATCGACAATAAACAAGGTGATGCCGATGAAAAAGCCGTTCAAATTGCAAATGGAGGAGCGAAAGTCGATGGCCGATCATCTCAACGATTTCAACCAACTCACGACGCAGTTGGCATCGGTGGATATTTCGTTTGATGATGAGGTAAAAGCCCTAATCTTGCTCTCATCATTGTCGGACAGTTGGGACGTGGTCAGTTACTTCGGTGAGCACTTCTTCCGGCAAGGAGAAGATGAAGTTCGACAACATAAGAGATATGATGTTGAACGAGGAGACCACGCGAAATCGAGCGGGTGGGTCGTCTGGCTCAGCCTCTACATACGAGTCCGAGAGGAGACCCGAAACACGAGGGAAAATCCGTGGGAGGTCAAAATCCAGGGGAAGGAATAAAGGCAAGAAAGAGATGGTGTGTTGGAACTGCGAGAAGCCTGGGCATATGAAAAGCGAATGCCGGCACCAAGGAAAGACAAAGAAGGTCGGACGACCAATGCCGCGACGGAGGACACGGCGGATGCACTCTTGTTGAGTGTGAGAAGCTCGCTCGATGACCGGATCGTGGACTCGGGGGCCTCATTTCACTCATGCAAGTAGCAGAGACATCATGGAGCCATACACCGCAGTGATTTTGGCTTGGTATATCTTGCGGACAACAAATCCCTAAAAATTGTAGGGAAGGGAGATGTGCGGATCAAGTCCGCAAATGGGTCATGCTCGGACCCTACGTGATGTGAGACACATTCCAGGACCGAAGAGGAATCTCATCTCGGTTGGACAACTGGACAATGACGGCTTCCACACAATGTTTGGAGACGAAAAGTGGAAGGTCGCCGAGGAGCTATGACTTTGGCAAGAGGGTCGAAGTCGGAACGCTTTACACGGCGAGTAGATCCAGCTCAAACATTCTCCCGGCAGGAGTTGTCTCACAATCGCACTTATGGCACGGTCGCTTGGGCCACATGAGCGAAAAAGGAATGAAGGTACTAAAGTCGAGAGGACTTTTGCCCGAGTTGGAGTCGGTGGACGTGGGTCTCTGCGAGCAATGCGTGCTTGGAAAGCGTAAGCGAGTGAGCTTCATAACCACCGAAGAGCTCCAAAGACGAAAAACTGGAGCTAGTGCACACCGACTTATGGGGGCCAAGCACCGGTGACATCTCTTGGAGGATCGATGTACTACATGACGTTCGTCGATGATCGCACAAGAAAGGTATGGGTGTACTTTCCGAAAAGAAAATCCGAAGCCTTTGATACTTTCAGGAGATGGAGAGCACTCGTGGAGAAAGAGACAGTCTCGGAAGTGAAATGTCTCGGATCCGACAACGGTGGCGAGTACAACAGTTGAAGCCATCAAAGAATACTGCGCCGATCATGGGATCCGGATGCGTAAGACGGTCCCAAGGACACCTCAACAAAATGGCATTGCGGAGAGGATGAACAGAACACCGAATGAGCGTGCGAGATGCATGCGATTGAAGAGTGGACTGCCCAAGATGTTTTGGGCGTAGGTAGCCAAGACGGCCGCTTTCTTGATCAACCGGGGCCTTCTGTCCCATCGAACAACAAAATTCCGAAGAGGTCCGGAGTGGTAAGAAAGTTGATCTCTCTTTCTTACGTACCTTTGGTTGTTTGGCTTACGTTTTGAATGACGATCGGACAAAGCCGGATGCTAAGTCCGTCAAATGTACATTCATTGGATATGGGACTCGACGAATTTGGGTATAGATTTTGGGATGATCAAAATCGGAAAATTATTCGCAATCGTAATGTGGTGTTCAATGAAGGCATAATGTACAAGGACCGAAGGAATACCCGGACGATGACAAGACCATGCAGGAGTATGTTGGTCTCGATATTTCAAATACCGGAATCATGAGACCAAGCAGATTCGAGTGGGAACTCGGATAGATGAGATCGAGCGTACGTAAGAAGAGGCGGAACCGGAATCGGATGAACCGATTGCCGAGAGCAAGCACGCCTCGGCACCGGGCCGAGAACCGAGGATGAGAAGTGGCCCTGGATAGGTACTCCCCTTCTCTTTATTACCTACTTTTATCCGATTCTGGGGAACCCGACCGTTATGCGAGGCGGTTAAAGATGCCCACAAGAGCAAGTGGGAGCTTGCGATGGAAGACGAGATGAACTCGTTGAAGAAGAACCACACATGGGATTTGTGTGATCTCCCACAAGGAAAGAAGGCTCTTCAAAACAGATGGGTCTATCGGGTCAAGGAGGAATCGGATGGAACAAAACTAAGTACAAGGCCGGACTTGTAGTAAAGGGATTCCAACGGAGATACTGGTATTGACTTTACCGATGTTTTTACACTCGTTGTTAAGTTAACCACTATACGTTTAGTGTTAAGCATCGTAGCGGCGGAAAACTTGGAGTTGCAACAGTTAGATGTGAAGACGGCCTTTCGCATGGGGATCTCGAGGAGGAAATTTACATGGTGCAACCGGAGGGATATAGAGGAAATGATCGCAGGTCCTGTCGCCTAAATAAGAGCTTGTACGGACCGAAACAGGCTCCTCGACAATGGTACCGAAAATTCGATAATTTCATGCTCGGAGATAGGATACTCCGGGTGTAATGCCGATCATTGTTGCTATGTGAAGAAGTTCGGTAACTCTTTCATTATTTTACTCGCTATATGTGGATGACATGCCGATAGCAGGATCGGATGTCAAGGAGATCGAGAGGCTCAAAGATCAGCCTATCAAGGAGATTTGATATGAAGGATCTAGGAGAAGCGAGACAGACATCGGGCATGAAAATCACGAGGGACGTAAATGCTGGTAAACTTTGGCTTTCTCAATTTGATTATATTGAGAAGGTGTTGTGCAGTATTCAATATGAATATTGCAAAGTCGGTTCGAGTGCCATTGGGAAGCCAGCTCAAGTTGTCCAACAAGGATTCGCCCCAGGATGACTCTGAAAAAGAAAAGATGAGAGTTACGCCGTATGCTTCGGCCATCGGGAGCCTAATGTACGCTATGGTCCGCACCCGGCCGGACATAGCACATGCAAGTGGGAGTAGTCAGTCGGCTCATGAGCAATCCCGGAGTGATGCACTGGGAGGCGGTAAAGTGGATCCTTAGGTACCCGAGGGGTACTAAGGACCGGCATTAGTATTTGGCAGGGGTACCCTTACCCCGTCCGGGTATGTCGATGCCGATTTTGCAGGAAGTGATCTTGACAAGAGGAGGAGTACTACCGGGTACGTATTCACTTACGACGGACGGCCGTATCCTCGGATCTCAAAGCTGCAGAAGATAGTCACATTGTCCACAACTGAAGCCGAGTACGTGGCAGTGACGGAGGCAGCCCAAGGAGCTCGTTTGGCCGCAAAACTTCTTGAATGAACTTGGGAGACCTCAAGAGGATGTGGCTCTATACAGCCGATAGCCGAGTGCAATCCATCCGGCAAAGAACCCCGCGTTTCACTCGCAAACGAAGCACATCGAGGTTAAGTATCATTTCATCCCAAGCAACTTCTAGAGAAGAAGATGCTGCAGCTGAAAAAGGTTCTGGGAGATAGGAATCCTGCAGACATGTTGACCAAGGCGGTAACTTTGGAAAAGTTGAAGCCGTGTGTAGCTTCGACTCGGCCTTGATGATTAAAACAGCAGACTTAGCAGTAACCAAGAGCGGAGATGAACAGTGTTGACCAATCTTCAAGTGGGAGATTGTTGAGGTGTAAAGATCGGTCAAAGATAGGGAACTTCCTTGCAACTTCCTGGTCAAAGGAAGGCTACTTCCTTTCAACTTCCCGGTCAAAGGAAGGGAGCTTCCTTGCAACTTCCTGGTCAAAGGAAGGGAGCTTCCTCTCAACTTCCTCTCAAGAAGGATTTGTTTGGCTATAAATACCTCATTTTGTAACCTCATTTGTATCAATCCAAGTGTGAAGAAAGAGTAGAGAGAGTGTATTCATACTAGGCTTGTGTGAATTGTAACATTCGGTTTATCCTCTTATTCTAGTTCATTCTCCTGGCTTGGTTCGCCCCAGCATGTAGGATTTAATCCGAACTGGGTTAACAAATATTCGTGTCTTTTATTGATCTCACATTGGTGTATTATTATTATTCCATCTTATCCGACCTTATTTCCCAACATACATACCTGTAATTTTATAATTTTGTAGGGAGTAATCAATTCACAAATACGTAAACTAAACATGGAACAAGTTACTTGTTTTCTACCAAAATCAAAATATAAATATTAATAAATACATAATATTATATTTTCATCACATTTGTTTCGTCATCATCTTGTAAGTATGATTCATTACAAAAAAATCATTTAAGATAGATGGTTTGAAGTTTTTGAAAATGTTGATGTAGAAGTTATTCATTTTACTTTATATACTCATAGAAATTATTTCAGAATACAGCAACACAAGATAATAACAGTTCTACAAAATTTAACTATTAATAATCTTATTATTTTGGTTTTAGCAATAGTTCTCAAAATTTTAATTATTATCCACTATCACCTAAGTGATGACACGATTATTTGATAAAAGTTAAAAAGTTTAATGAAAATGTTTCAATAATAGTTAAAATTAATTTTTTTTTTTTTAAGAAACTCTAACCACCTCTTCTGTTTCATGTAAAACGTTTTTTATTAAATAAATATTTAAGACTTTTATTATGTACAAATTTGTCTGCATGTCATAAGAGTAAAAACTATAGTTTTTAGAGCAATTAAACAAGCAGGTTATAACCTACAATTTTACCTTCATGCATCAAAACTTTATTTAGGTCATTTTAGAAACATCAGAATATACTATAAAAGATTTAGAAACAAGTGTAACAGAAAACCTTTTTTAAGACTTTAAAAATTACTCACATCTATTATCCACACAAAAGTTGACCTTTGTGACTCAGGTAAAAAAAAAATTATCTTAAAGAAACTCTCTATTAACCTTTGTATAAAACATTGTTGGTTTAAGAAAATTTCTAACCTAGACTATATATAGAAGAATTAATCAATATAACCCATTTAGAAATCACATGTTCTAAGAGACTAACATTCTTGAATCATAACACACAATTAAACAATTTAAAATAAGATTATATGTCCTTGAAGATCTTATGTTCCTCGGTAGTTTTAGAGTATATTAAGATATCTTCTACAAAAATTATATTATATTAGATAAAGACGAAAGATTAATACTATATGATCCATTAACACAATATATTCATTAGTTACACCAAAAGGAATAACTAATAATTTCACAAGTTGTAAGAGGTTCTAAAAGTAACTATGGAAACATATTAAAGACAAATCTTTTAGTAAACTGATTTAGTGTGTATCCTATTAAATATACAAGTTCCAACAAATTAGTTCATAATGTAATTTATTTTTTAAGTAAAAGATATTTATTCTTAATCAGCACTTTGTTATATTCAGTGATTTATAACAATCTCTAATGAATAGAAACTAGCTTGGAATTCTCTTGCACATGACCGAAGACAATAATTTCATAATTTAGTATGATATATATGATTGAAAGATAATTATTCCATATCATAATAATATCTAATTGACTAAGATGCATATTTTAAATAGAGAAACTAACTCTCACAATTGATGAAAACACTAACAATGTTAAACTTTAAAAAGATAATAGTACATAGTTGAGATAGACAAATATGTTGTATAAAATAATCAAAGAAGACCATTAATTAAACTTGTATCAGGAATAAATTCATCTAATTTTATAACTCAACTTTGGATTAAGGATAATAATAATAATAATAATAATAAATTTAAAACTTATTTATTTATGAATTATTAAAATAAGTTGATGTTTTTAAAAATAGAGTACAGTTTAAAATAGAGTACAGTTTAAGTTGAATCTTATGTTTTTTTGTTTAAGTTTATTCATTTTGTAAAATGATTTTATTTATAAAAAACAGGTTGCTAGATAGACTAAAACCAAATTTAAAATTTAATTATTATAAATGGTTTTTAAAATATTATTTAACCTGTCTATTTTTAAAATACAAACAGTCAAATAATAGAGAAATGGTTAATGGAAGAGAAAAAAATTATAGAAACTAAATTAAAAAAGTTATGTTTTTTAATACTTAAAAAAATTATTTAATAAATATATACTTGTTTATTAATATTTAAAATATTTGTTTATATAGTAAAGTGATTTAATGACAACATAAAGAAATACATAATTGAATGATTTGATTATTAGGTAATTAATTGAAAAAATTATATATTTTATAAAAATATTAATTTTTTATTATAACTAACGTCTTTTTACGTTTTAGGACAAATATATTCTAGCTTATGGTTTGAAAAGAATTCTGGATTGGGTCCCAATTTAATATGAGATGTTATGTTTCTTCTAAGATAAGAAAATATGATAACCATAAACATAGTTGATGACAGATAAGAAGGAGAGACTAATTCATTGAATGAAAGTTGAAACATTTTCTCCTACAAAAATCTATTATGGAAAGTTAATTAATAGCTCAAACAAATCCTAAATTGCAACATTTTCAAATACATGAATAACCATTATTATTATTATTTAATTATACTATTGGGAAAACTAAATCACTAAAGAAACACTGTCAAATACAAGATAAACAGGGTAATCTTTATTTGATAATAATGGTTTTGTAAGATTATGATAGAGCAGAAATTCACACTGTTGAATATGTACTTCCATTACATGGCCAAATCTTCAAATCCCACAAAGGTTACATGTACCTCTTGTTGTTCTCATAAGAATTTCTTGGTTACCAAACAGTAAGAGCGTGTTTAAGAGAAATGGACAGAGGAGAGAACCATAGGAAACTATGAAGCCATGACATGTGTGAAGCATGTTAGAGGATGTGCAAGGAAACAACATTTGTGTTGGCAATCTGGCTGTTTGGTGTTTGTTTTAAGGGTATTAAATATTCTGAACCGTCCATTTATTATTTTCTCATTTTATTTTTTATTTTCCTTTTACATTTTTCTGCCAACCGTTTCAATTGAAACTAGAGCGACCATAACTCTGCGTTTTTGTGGTAACTGGAGTTGTAAATGATTCATGAACCAAGCATGTGACACTGAGCAACAAATTTGACTTTTTGAGTTGTTTCGGGACATCGCATAATAATGGTAATTTGAATTGGATTCGTATCACTCTGATCATCACTTTTTTGTTGCTTGCTTCGTCTGTGCTTCATTTTTATTTTATCAATTTGCATAAATGCTTCTTTGGCCTTGTTCCCGGATTATTTCTTTTCAGAATGACGAGGAACACAATCTCATTCTTGTGTTGAATTTCAGAGGGAAAACACCATCACAGAGCGTGTAACTTTCAATATCTGCATTTGGACCATGGATAAAGTCTGTTTCTTTCATCAGTGATAGATATGATTTCTGAGATTTTTTGTATTTTTTATTTAATATTTTTATATCCCTCAATTTTAGGTTATCTATGTTTATCTTGCTTCACGTTAAGGCATGGATGCTCTAAAACATTCTCTTGATCATTCTGTTTCAGAACATAGTGTTACAACTTTGTTGTCTGTATTCAAATATTGTAGATTCCACAGATTGTGGATTCTTGTTTACCAGCAATATTTTTTAATCTTCCTTTCCTACATACAAGATAAACATAGGAAACCGATGAAATTTTGCAGTTTTATTCCCAGGAAAAGTTTATTGTCCTGAAAAGTTGAATTTGATTGCCAATCCTTTGGCCCCTACAATTACAAGGGTACGTGGTCATTTCCCCCTACAGTTGCTATCCCCTTAAAATTTTTAGAAATTAGTTTTAAAACAATTTTCATATATATATATATATATATATAAAATATATTCATTCCTTAATTTTCCAACTGCCGTTTTGAAGATATACCAAACGAGTGTAAATGAAGTTATTTTCTTCAGTCCTCTGTAAATTACTACATTCATTGTTTGTATGTAGTTGGAGACATAGGAGAGAAGGTAATTAAATTTCTCTTCATAATTCATATTTTTTGTCCTAGGACATGGATAAGAGTAGAAAACAGTTACTGGTTGCTTTACACCATATATATATATATATATATATATATATATATATATATATATATATATATAATTTAATTACTTTTATTGGAGGGTGCCATCATTGTGTGTTCTTGATATATATCATCATATTCCTGATCAATAGATAACTCAAATGTTTAGCTATGAAGGTTTTAGTAAACAGAATTTGACCTCATCAGTTGTATGTGCCCCCAATTTTCTGTGATGCCAAGGATAATGACAAAACAGTAACTGCAATGGGAAACCTTAGTCTTGGATTGCATATTTCTGCTTGCTGTGAACTGTGAACAGTTATTTTCCTATCAAATTCATCCTGCAAATCTCACCACCAGTTTTTCCCATGCAGTGACATAGTGATAATTTTGGCAAGATGAAAGGTTCAAAAGGACGCAGCATGAAGCACACACATTTTATTCATTGTGAAGATCAAAGAAGTCAAGAGCATAAGAAAATTGTACGGGACAGACTGGAGGGTAATACTAATAATAGTTTTAGGACAAGGGAGATTCCAATAAAGAGGTTGTTCAATGTAGGGCATTTTACTAATGCTTCAGAGGACGTGTCAAAGTTTAGCAAGGGAAAGAACTTTTCAGCAGGAATGAATGTCATGGACTATGATTTACCTGAGCTGGTTGTTTTTATTCAAGAGGACCATGAGCAGTTTGTCAAGGACAGTTGCATTGGTAGGGGAGTGCCACCAGAAGACAAGTGTCTCTCAGAAGATTGTGCATTAGATCATGATATAATGTCATGTCACTTTGAGTCTAACATGAATAGAAGAAGCGATTCAAATCTAGGGACTATGGAAGCATTTTCAATCAATTCTAATAGACCAGAATATGGCTCTAAACATCTTTCCCTTAAGGATGCAATGGAGTTTTATGATTCAAGAGCTTTAGTGATTGATGTTGAAGGTGATTCAGGATACAAGATTTTAACTGATCACCCCACAAAGAAGACAACACCGGAGACCCTTAGAGAGGTGAGACAATTTAATCTCATGCTTGTGCATTTTATCTATTTGGACAAAGAATTAATTGATTACTAGAACATTGCTACTAACACCAGAATATTTATATTCTAAGCATTATTATGGAGTCCTGTCTTTTCTTTTTTTAGCATGGTTAGTTAACCATCAACATCAATGAATATGTTCTCTTTTGTTTCGTAACTTAGATGCATGAGTGATAAAAGATTGAAACTAGTCTACAAGCCATATAAGGAGTTAGCTCCTGCCATCTACCCACTGTGAACTACTGAACGACATAAGAAACTAGGTGCAGCACCTGCACTTACACCAATCGAAATTTGATAGGTTAGATTCATGTGTGCCCTTGTCAATTATAAGAAATTGCAAAACCGAGAGAAGAGAAACTCTTATTTGCTTTCAATGGAAAAAGAAAATAAAATAACCGAATGAGAAAGTCTCTTTATTTCTTAGAACAAGATTTCTCTACTTATATACCCATTTCTCTGGATTGATTGAAGACATTTGTAGTACTTTGGGAAAGTCACTCGTACTACGTAACGTTGTTATAGTTTGGTATTGTAGTCACCCAATTAATTCTTTGATTCAATGATTAAACTAAATTTTTAAGTACTGAACTGAATCCTGATAATATGATTGTCTCTTAGAAAGGGACTTGCTTTATTTCTGAACTGATTTGTTGCTTTAGCTACAATGACTCAGTGAGTAAACTAGGTTTACTTTTCTTCTGCCTTCGGAGAAAAAGTATAATGTCTGCAAAAATGTTTTACGCTGTCATCCAATCACAAATTGTCATGTATGGTAGTATGCTGTGATTTGTGATTAGTTGATAGTCCAAAACTATTTTACACTGTTGGTGCATAACTCTTTCTTTAGGAAAATAAGGCTCCTACTCCCTGAAAATATTTACACAAGCAAATACTGCAACTATGATAAAAGATGAATGTAATTTTAAATGTTAGCGTGATCCTAGAACAATTGTATTCTATAAGAGGCTCATTCCCAAATTTTGCATTAATGTTACATTTTACTGTTAAGCTCTTGGGAAGGACTTTTGTTTCTCAGTAACAAGTGTTGGAAATTAAGCGAGTGTGGAAGTGGATTATTGGCACTACGTTTTGATGATTAAGATGAATCAATGGAGGATCTTACTTGTCAGTTGTCATCAGACTTATTCTATTTTCTTGCTTCGAGTAAAATATGTAGAGAACTTTCATGTATAAATTACTTCACTCAACTCAAACCTAATAATCTACTTGACTTCAACAACAAATTCAGTAATGTCGTGTCATTGAGGATAAGTTAATCATCATCCTTTATTGAAAATATTGACTCTGAATTTTGCTGAACAATTTTATCTTTAACAATCCATAGGCATTAACAAAGGAAGCATACGTTTCAAGATCTCTCAAGAATTGGCAAATAAATTCATTTTTGGGTACAGTTGGCAGCAGAGTGGAGTTTCCATGTTGTGCAGATTGTGTGCAAGTTGCTGACACTATCATGTGTAGATCTGCGATTAGTAACTCACAAAGTCCAACAGGTTTAGGAAAAAGACAAGAAAATGATCCTCCAGAGACTTGTTCCTGTGCTGTAGGCCCTCAATCTAGTGGTCCAACATCATATGCAGCTCCTGCAACTAGCAGTGCCTCTCATCACTCTAATGACAGCATAAGCAGCACACATTCATTTGCATTTCCCATGTAAGTTTCTTACACTTTAAGTTCTGTCTCTCTTTGGCAATACACAAGCTATCCATGGTCATAACTATTTAGGCCTAATAAAGCATCATTTTCAGATTACCTGAAGAATGGAATGGAAGCCCGGTGAGAATGTTGGAAGCTGATAAAAGTCAAATAAGAAAGGACTTATGGCAGAAGGTAATGATATTGTTCTTTTGCTGCAAAAGTTGATTGCTAAAATTTTGCGTGTCAACAGACACTGGCAGCAGGTTTATGCAGAAAAGTTACCATACTGGTTTACTTTCATGGTTTTACAGGATACATACATGTGGTCATATCAAATTATTTTGCCATCTATTTTGATGACTCATTAGTTTAAATACTCTATGTGTTTGTTTATATTTATACTTGTTCTTCTACCCCACTCCCTCTTTTACATATTGTATATTACAAACAATCATGAAAATTTCTCTCCAAGAAGATGTGCTTATACTTTGGAAGATTCTCTTAAACAGGGCAAATTCTACACATGCTAAACTTTCACTGATAACATTGATGATGTATATTTTCTAAGTTCAAAATTTCAGGTCAATTTTTCTATAAAAGAATTTTACACAATGTAAATAACTATCATAAATTCATTAATCAACTATTAACAAATGAGAAGACAAATATAAAAGAAGAATTTGACCATGAACGAACCTCTATGGTTGAATCCATTCCATATAGATCTGATTTTTGGTGTCTTAGATAAATTGATAAAACAATGTCTTTCGAATACTTTAAATACTGTTTTCATTGCTATTTTTTTAATTGAAAATAAATACAACTAATTTTCTTACAACTTTTTAGATGAGTAGTAAAACCTTTTAAATAATCTTGAATTATATTTATGTATATATTTTTGGAAATTATAGAATATCATATAAACTAGATGGAGGCATGTTTGACTATCTAGTTGTAAAACTTTTTAAATATATATATATATATATATATATATATATATATATAATCATAAAATTATTAATTTTGTTTAAGTCTTTTGCAATAAACTAAATTTGTCACAATCATTCTAAGATTATTTGGAACATTTATTTCATTTGTTGCCTTTATTATAAAGATCAAAAGAGAATTGAAGGATTACATAATAATTGAGAATAATTATACCATAATTTATCTAAATTTCTATTTATTATAAAAACATATTTTAGTAGATTTGTTGTTGAAATGCCAATATATTAGTTTGATGAAATTAATTTAAGATTATTTTAGATGACCCAATATATTAGAAGATTTTGAAAATTTTGAATAAAATATATTTAAAAAATTGTTTCAAACAAATAAAAAAATTATAAAATAAAAGAAATGACATAATTTTGAGTCAGAACATTTTTAAGCAAGACTCTATTATATCACTCCTAGGTTTATATTGAAATGTGTGCACATTGTTTTGTACAATTTTGATTTTTTTTATTTTTCCTTTTACCTTTTAAAAGGCATTCAACTAAACAATTTAAACAAAACATTATTTTATAAATACTTTGTAATCAGCACCTTATTCGCAAAATTGAATGTAAAACTTACTAAAGTAAATTAGAAAAAGAATAAATTCATTTGAATAACCTTTATATTTGTAATTTGTCCCAAAACAATTTATGTTCTCAGCTTACAATATAATATTAATTATTCTTTTTATTTTTTTTCTCAAATAATGTATCCTATAATAGAGCATTTTAAGGTTTAAAGTTAAAGTTAAGTCATCGTCGTCATAAATATATTGTTGGGTTCTTAGATTTTTACTGTCAAAAGTTTGAATGTAGAGGCTAGTTTGGTAAATTCCTTCATCCTTCTGGACCTTAACACAGTAATTGAAGGTCATACATACACCAATCATCTACTGCTGTTATTACCGACAGAAAAGTTTGAATTAACTTTGCCATAATTCAACTGGTCAATGATGTTGCTTTTGAAAACCATTAGTTTCACAGCATGAATTTCAAACTTATTGATGTTTTAATTTTTTTTTCAAACTTTTTAATGTTTTTATAATTTTTAAATTTCTGTATATATATATACTCTTATTTAGAAGCTATAGTTTACACTTTCTTTACATTAGAAATACAAACAATATGTTTGTCGCGTAATGCAATATCTAATATATTCTTTTCCTTTCCTTTTTGTAAAGTTCTTTGTTCAAACACTATCCAATGACTTGGTTTGTTTTCTTCATCTCAACTTCCAAAAACCACACAAGGAGGGAGAGTTTATTGTATTACCAGTATAAAGTGGGTCTTCATGACAGATTCATTCTTGTTAAGGGTAAAAAACTTTGAAACTAACATAAAAACCAAGCTAAAGATGATTTGAGATGTCCCTGGAATCTGCATCCAGGGATATTGAGGATTCCAAATTTTAATTCAACACAAAGAAAAGACTCATGTTCAAGTTTGAATTAGAGTTCTCAGTCTCCCTCAAGGTACTATAGTGGCCTAATTGTTTGACAGAACAAATGGTTTTGGGTCCCAATTTCCATTGACTAAGACACTATTCAGCGATCCTATGGTCATCTTGCAAAAATCTTAGTGGAGGATGACTTACATGAAGACCTTTGGTGGAAAGGATGGATACACTTTCTTTGTTTTTATTATTTATGAGAGGGTGCATGAATTGTTCAATGTCCTAAATTTAGGAAGAAAGGTATATATATATATATATATAACAAGACAGTTTTAAGTCTCCAAATAAAATTTTGTTGCTTTTTTTTTAACTACTAAAAAATTAGTTATTTTCTGTAAACTTTTTAATAGAAATTATTTAAATTTGTAAAAGATTTATTTTTTGTAAATTTTTATACAAGTTTTACAAAAATATTCTAGGCTTAAAAGCTCATAAGATTGATAATAATATTATTGATCAGTATGGTCTTATGGATAATGGATTGATTATGAATCCAATTTATGCGGTTAATGGAGTTAAAAAAAAGGATATTTTTTACAATTTGGTAATTTAGTTGATTCGATGGTTTAAAACACAGTTTTAAAACCCCCACTACCTCTCCGCGGTTTTAAAACCTCTATAGCCTTTCTACAAATTTTGAAATCCTTACTATCTCTCTCTCTATATTTTAAAAACTTTGTTTTCTTTAAACTATTTATAATCTCTGTAGTTTTACTTAAGGTTTAGAATCCCATTAATTTCATGTTTCTTTAATACTTATTTATTTCTAATAAAAATAATAACAAAATATTAATGAAATAAAAATAATGTCTAAAAGACTTATCTCCTAGAACCAATAAAATCATTAAAAATAAATATTAAAATACTATCAAACAAATAACAGATCAATATTTTTTAATTTAATATAATAATTAAAATAAATATTTATAAAAGAAAATTTTCTACAAATTCAAACTAAGTTAATCTATAATGTTATATTCCATAATTAAATTAGATAACAATAGTGAAATAAACAATTTTATTTAAAAATTTTCATGCTAATAATTTATTTCTTCTTCATTATGAACACTTCCTTTATTACCATAATTCTTCTCTGTAATATTTCACCACTTGCAATTTGTTAGCTTTTATTATTCTAATTCACAACAATTCTTTCATTAACAGGTAAATGTCATCTATTTTGTATTTGTCTTACCTTGGTAATCTATTACATGTTAAAAAAAAAAATGTTAAGTTCTAATATCATTGGTTCCTAGCTATTACAAAATGTTACATAATATACTTAATATAAATATCAAGTTCTAACTTTATTAGCTTAACTCAGGAACAAATTGTTGTGTTGGCTAGAAATCAAGTTGTGTTGCAATTGGGGTCTGAAAAATCAATGTAGGGACATGGTTGGTTTGACTAGTTGAAGGTATTCTCACTTTCAAGGTTCCTGAAAATAAATTAAATCAACGAAATAAAAATTGTAGTTTGCCTTGAGATTGATAGATGGAATCCATTTCAAAAAGAAAGTTGAAACATTTTACTTGCTTAAGGTGTAGATGAAGGTGGTGGGGGATCATGTTGATTACTTGTATGTGATGTGTTAGTGGATTAGTATACTTAGGTATAGGTGGAGGTAAAATAAGTTGACTATTTAGTTGTGAAGGATGAATATTCACTTGAGTATTTGACTTATATTTACTTGAAGTTAAAAATTTCATCTTCAACATTCCTATCAATCAATATCATATAGATTAGTAAACTTATCCCTCGTATAGATAAAACTAACTAGAAATTTTAATCTACCCTTTTTATTTTCCAAAAAAAATTGTCCTAGTAAATATGTTATGCCTTCTAACATTTTATCCATAAAACTAGATAGACTAAAAGAATTAATGCAAAAATAGTATGTATGAAGGTATATAATTACCTGAATGGGATGGATGATTAGGTGTAGGTGGACACATCTTACTATAATCTACTACATATCCCCACGTAAAAGAGACACATTGGATTCTATTTGCCTCATTCTTCTTGGTTGAAATTTTCTTCATCTTCATGTGTTATAGAAACAATAAAAACAACATATACAAGTCAAATTACTGATTCAAAATTTTATAATAAAATATAGTATCAAATGATGAAGGCTAAACTTGAAAATTAATGAAGGTAAGCAAGCTTTTTTAAAATGTCATGAACAAAGTAAAACTTGAATAAATAAGACAAGTCAGTGAAAGTTCAACAAACAACCATCTAAAAAAGAAAATAGATAAAAAGAATGTTTCAAACGTTTTTAATTTGAGGATTTAGGGTTTCGTTTGAATCATTGGAGACAATAACAACCTTTGCGACTTGAGAGCGTTTGCAAGAACCACTGGACAAGGGATTTTTCAAAATTTTATTGAGGTTTTGTTGTTCGTTAGGTGAGATAAAATTTTTATATTACAACAAAAACAACGGAACAAACAATGATTTGGGTAACAAAAAAATGATTAGAAATTGTTTCTCTGACTTGTGGGAGACAAAGGTAAGAAGGAGTTATAGGAGATGAGGAAAGACAAAATGTTGGAAGGGTTGAGGCTTAACGAAAACACGTGAGAATAATGAAAAATATTATGTTAAGGAGGGATGAGTGAAGAACTTACAAAAGAGGAAGAGTGAAATTACTCAATAGGAATTGAAAATATACTTAATTTAATACAAAAAAAAGTAGGGACTTAGTGGAGATTTTTCATAACCTCTAGTATGTACATTCATTCTCCTATGTTATTAAAATTTCAGTTAATGAACTTCAGATAAAATAAAATATTTTGGTAGTGAATGTGGAGGTGTTATAATAACCATCTACTTTATTATAGGTAGTATATAATTTGATGAGGCCTAAGATGTTTTGATCTTCTTATAAGTAAATAGTTGGATCAAACTTGTAATTATATACATTGATTTCTTTGTATATTTGTGATTTATAAACATGTCTTTCAATTCAAAAACATTATTATACAAAACCTAACAAATTTTTCTAACATTAAAACCTAAGAGTATAATTCATTTATATGGCGATAGACTTATAAAACTAGATCATTTGGATCTAACAATAATGCCTTTGGTTGTCAAATATGTGAGCTTGGTAAAATAAAAGTGGGGAGATCAAGTTCGGAACGAGATATCTTATAAACAAATGATTCTCAAACAAAGTAATAAAAAAGAGTTAACAATACAATGATATATAATGTTATTAACACCCACTCTAAAATTAGATTAAGAATTATTATATTCATATGTTCTAAATTATTTCTCTTTTCTATAATATTATGATAATTGGTTTAAAATAACCACAACTTTATATTATTACTTTAAATATTTTTTGGTTATTGGAGAAAATGTTTTCCTCTAACTATTGGGATGACAAGTGATAAAAAATGAAATTTAGTTAAGTTTTTCTCAAAATATCTGCTAAAAATGAGTTAAGAGCTTTGAATTTATATATATGAATTAAAAAATTTCTTGGAAACTCATGCATCATCAACCTTATTACAAATAATAAAATACGTTATCTTTAAAAATCTATTAATAACCAAAATGATTGAATTTTGATTATTCCTTATTCTTCAAAACAAATGCAAAATTCATAGATATAGTCATTCAAGAAATATAGATGTAAACTTTCTGAAATTGAACCCACCTCTTAATATATTGATAAAATAAATTATCATAGGAAACTTTTGAAGTTTTCAAAAATTCAAAATATCCTATAAGTTTAATCTCTTGTAATTTTATAATTAGTAGTTTTCTCTATGATCCTTTAGGCCTACAAATTTTTTTATCTTAAAAAAATCGTTAAAAATAAATTTAATAAGATATCGTATAACAATCATATTTTTTTTAGAGTCATCGTATTTTCTAATTCTATTATATTATCAAATCTTAAAAAAATTTGTTTTGAGTATGATAAACAAGAAATGTCTTGATAATGCATCTATTTTCACACTGTGGTTTTTTTCTTATGTGCTAAGAAAAATGATTCTATATACTATATCATTAAGTATACATTTTTATTATTGAACTTGCATTTATGCTTTAAATACTTAAAAGATTCATAATTATTATAGTTTATAAATTATTTTAAAAAAAATAACGTTATTCAATACTCTTCGATCCAAGTGAAATAGTTAAGATAATTTTATTTAAGTATTTTAATAAAAAAAATATTTTTTTAAATAACAAAACTCTTGTTAATTTTATTTAAGTATTTTAATAAGATAATATGATTTCTTTTTTAAAGGAACAAAACTCTTATCAACTAAGACATCCAATCTTAAATAACTTGTAAATAACTTGAATAATTTGGAAATTTTGGTAAAATGAGAATAAATGCATTGAAAAGTGTTATGCTATGTATACCTATTCAAACTAATTCCCTCCAAAAAAAATCTTGTTGAATATATTTTATATTATTTTTTAATATAAAACTTTTGCTCCACAAATTCACATAATAAAACTCTAATTTTAATTAAATGAAAAAAAAAATCAATTTAATTAAATTTAAAATTAATATTTTTAGATATATTTTTTAAAATATTTCACTTATTTAAAAAGTGAATGTAGAATTAGTTTACTATATATTTAAACAAAATTAAGAATTACTTAGAAATAAAAATAAATATTTTATTATAAATTTTATAAACTTAATTAAAATTTATTATAAAAATATATTTTTAATTTTTAATATCTTTTTCTAATTTTAAATAACACACTTATAAGATATATAATAAAATATATACTTTTATCCTTAAATAATTCTTACATTTAATTTTAAAATACATTTAAAATAAGTCAACAATTCATTAATGTGTAATATGAAATAGTTTTTGACGCATAATTTTTGTTTAGAAAAAAAATATATAACTTATCATCACTTATAATACGCCTCTTCTTAACTACGTTTCTTAACCTTCCAATGTCTATCTCCTTCGATATTATATTAAATAAGATAAAAACATTACAGACATTAAAATTCTGCTCTCAAGTTAGGGTTTTGAAATGATGTATCTCCTGTACTTAGGTCCTATCACTGTGCCATCACCTCATCTCCACCCCCACCCAGTCCCAAAACTAGCCACCACTTTCCACGCCCAAACCCAACACAACACACCCCTCATCCATCACATTCATGTCTTGTCACCTATGCCATTTGCCTACGTTTCCCACTCACCATTTAGACCCTCATCACTCACGCCACGTGGAGTCATCATCCTCGATGTGACTTCTCGCTACCACCCAGCCCCCACACTATTCCCAACCCATCTACTCCTTTTCCTCCTAGATATCATATTATTTAATATTCATCTTCATCTTCATCCTTTTCCTGTATCAGACACCTCTTTCGCCTTTAAATCACACCATGATTATCGTCATTATCTACATGCAACGTGACGTGGCACATTATATACGACGTGTGAAGTGTTCTGGGTCATTTTCAACTTCATAGCCATTAATAGTGCGGATGAAATACCACCCCAAACACGCCAAAAACAATATTACAATCCCAACCAAACAAGAACAACCATTGTTACAGAACCAATCCCCAATATATATATATATATATATATTTAAACACCGCTCCTATGTCTTTCCCCTGTTTAATCATATTCCAAATACATACATTAAAACATTCAAGTACGAAGGAAAAAAACACTAACATCATGTTAGTTGCACATGCACATCGCTGATGATAATCAAGCCCAATCACCTCTCCAGAAAAAGTAAAAGCAAATTTACATATGCTAACTAATTATGAGTTCCTTCAAGATTCTTTTTTTAAACTTGGGTTTAGAGATTCCATTCCAAATATGCTTGAACTTTTCTTCTCGAGTTACAAAAAACAAAAAGAAATTTCTTGAGTGCTTTCAAGGAAGGTGAAAGAGAGGTGGATTTTCCTGATCAGCCCATTGGGTGTGGGTCCAGTACGGTTGACCAACGGTGTTAGGGAGATCAAACAAACCTTGATCGGCACCGGGTTGCCAATCCAACGACCCAAACGCAGTCTTGTGCTGCAGCGACGAAAACTCAGGCGCCACCGTGTGATCGAGAAACGACGCCGTACCGAACTCTTGATTCTGCTGGTTCTGCCACTCAACATGGTCTCCACCTGCTGCCACATGCACCTGATCATTCCCCTGCTGATGAGTGACACCGAACCGAAACGCCGCCGCATCGATGATGTTACTGTTACTATTACTACTATTCCCAAATCCAAACCCCCATGCTTCGTTATTTGAAGCCATGAGGTTCGAGAAACTCCCTATCTCAGAGAAAATGCCACCTCTCTCCAAAGAGGGGTTATTAGCGTTAGCGAACATCTTCGACTCGCGAACGTTGTCGACTAACAAAGCGTTGTTCGAAGCAGCGTTTGATGTCGGCGCCGACATAGCCTCCGTGGCGGCGACGGTTAGGGTGGAGCTTTCGCTGCTGGAGTGGGAGTTGGAGTTGCGCTCCGGCTCCTGCGGCGCAGTGGCCGGAGCGGTCTCCGAGGAGGAGGAAGGCTGGTTGTTGTTGTCCTTATTATTGTTGGTGTTGGTGACGGTGGTTTTGGGCTTGTTGGAGCGTTTCGATTTGCGGCAACCGCCACCGACGGGGACGTTGCGGAGGACGCCACCTTTGGTCCAGTAGCGGCGGCAGTTCTTGCAGAAATGGCGGGGCTGGGATAGATTGTAGTTGTTGTAGTAACAGAACTTGGTGTTGAGGGAGTCGCAGCGAGGGCACTTCAGCGGCTGGGGTTGGTTGTGGTGGTGCGGCCTGACCCTTCGGTCAGCGCCGCCGATGGAATGTAAACCCTGCATTTCCGGCCACTAATGAAACGTGAAATTTGGAAATTGATTGTGTGTGTGTGTTTGTGTGTGTGGTGTGTATGATGGGTGGGAAAGAAGAAAGAGTTTTTTTTTTTTTTTTTTTTCTCTCTCTGTGTCTCAGTATGTACTATGTTTGTGAAGAAGGTGCGTCATGGGAAATAGTGTGAAGGAGAAGAAGAAGAGAAAGAAAGAGCGTTGGGACTGACAAATATCCCTGCACACACTGCACTGCTCTTCTCGTATCGCTATCTTCCATTTTTCTAATATTTTTCAAGCCAATTGACCGAAACGACCTTGTGTACTGGCGGGCCACTCAGAGGATATGAAAATACTAAACTGTCCCCGATAAAAATAAAATCTTATTAATGGCTTTAAAATTGGGTGGGATATGACATATTTTAATTGATTTTAATTTTAAAAAATTTATTTATTCATTTAACTTTTTTTTTTCTAATTACTTAAAATGCTATGCATTTTTATGAAGAAATTGAATTTGTATGCCATGTTGATATAATTTTTTGTACCATAAACGACAAGAAAAATGTATAAGATGATTTTAAAGAAATGTATCAGCAAATTTATTATATTTATGAAATATTTTACCTTTTATGTTTTGTATAGACTGTCTTATTCTACTAAATTTAATCGACCAAGAGTATTTTTAATAAAAATAATTTGTATGAGTTATTTATCAGTAAAAAAAATAAAATATAAATTTATTTTATTATATCATATTTAATAATTTATAATTAATTTATTCAAATTAAAAAAAATTACAAATTTCATGAGGGTGTTATCCTCGTCAAATCTGCTAGTGCGTTCGTCACGCTCCTTTATACAGAATATTAAATGTTTTTTAACTTTATTTTTATTGTTTTATCCATATTATAAATAAATAGATAAATTATACAAATATAAAATCTGAATGGACATAAAAAAATAAATTGTTTGTGTGAATAAAATTTGAGTTTAATAGGGGATTGTTTTTTATGTCTTGTTCAAATATTTTTTTTTTTTGCAAAATATTGAAGTCTATTTTTAATAAGATATATTATTTGGAAAAGTAACACTCCAATTTTCAACTATTTCAAGACTTGTTGATGATTCTGTGGCTTCACTTGATAACACACTTCTTATCTCCTTCCTTCTTGAAGAATATATTTTCTTTTCTCTTAAATTAACTAATAAAAATATTTTAATAGAGATAGAAGATTATTTTAGTAAAACATTTTTTATTAATGCATACATATTAACTTATAACGTGAATAATTGAAAAAGTGGGAGAGTGACAATTTTTTGAAAAATAAGATATTATAGGTTATTTAAATAATGTAAAACAAGTTTTGATTTAAATTTTTAAAATTCTGGTAAATTGGAAGTCCTGGATATCTGTGATAGATAGATAGATGGTGCAGGCGTTGCCACGTTGGATATTTGCATTGGTAAGATGTGTGATATTATTTTATTTTTTTAAAATTTGGAAATCGCAGCCAATTGTACGACTCCGTAACTGCTCCTCTTGTCCATTTCTTACGCTGATCTTTCTATGCCATTTCCTCCGTACATAGTCATCTTATTATGTAACATTTTCAAAGAATAATGTTTCTTCAAATACCATAGTCGTGCTGTTATAAAATTATTTTGATAAGAATGTGAATCCATTGTTTTAGATATTTTTATTACAATAAAATATTATCTTCACTTACATAGTTTGATACAGTTTAAGTTTTTTACAAATATTTAGTAGCATGTTGACATCCAAGACCAGCATCAAGGATCATTGAGTGCCTTTGTTCAGCCAATTCGAGTCTATCAAGAATGCTCTGTTCTTGTTATGATTACGTGTTTGGGCACAGCGAGTTTCCCAGCAACAAAGAGCAGGCCACCATTCAACCATCCAATTCTTTTATTTTTTTGTTCATCTTATCACTGTTACTGTAATTGGTTTCTTCATTGTGTTAAGGAAATGGTAAAAAATAAGAGGGTTATATTATCTAAACCTCCGTAAAATATTTTTCTCGCAACTGTTTGAAAGTATCCTTTCATTAGCGTTCATATCCGACAATTTGTCTTTCGAAATATCGGGAAGAACATTCAGAAAAGATCAACGTGGATGAACCAACCAATGTTAGTATTCATTCTTAAAAAATCATATTCATTCAATTAGTGACTGATGTGTATGGATATAATTCATAACCAAGTAATTATTTTTCAAATATTATAAAATTTATAAGCTATGATTATAAAATCATATTTATAAGCTATTCTTGAAAGAATGACGCTTAATAAAAAAAATGAAATATATTTCTGAGCCAAATAAAAGTATTCTACATTATAAGCTATGATTTGGTACCATATAAATACATACATGTTCTTTCCTTTCCTTTGATAACACCTACACCCATCATATGTATTGAACCGTCCAATTAAACACATTACGCACATACAACACAACACTCGTCGTGATTAATCCATGGGCCCAGCACCTAAAATTGTACCAATGTGGCTGCTAGCTACATAGGTTTGGTTATAATCAGTGGGTGGCTAACAATGTTGGGCAATTATTTAATTCCTGGTCCAGGTGTCATTGTGTGATTCAAGCTTTTGTCCAGTGATGTTGCAGGCCCTACATACCATAACTAACCTCCAAGGTATATGCACACCCATCTAGTCACTGTTACTCGTCCTTTCTCTCCTTCTGGACGCAAATTATCTAATTCAACGCTTCCAAAATCGACTTCGATTTATATCAAATTAAAAATAAACAACACCAAATTTAATTTCTAGTCCATGAATGATTTCATCCTTCTTTCTCTCAAAATTTTCAAACCTACTCTTGCTTGCATAAATTTATCTCTATGTGATGATGATTCCAGGCACAGATAAAGTCTGAACTCTGAGAAAGTTCCTAAGTGGAAGCAAATCAGGTTATATTTGAAGGAAATCCTTGTACAATTGGAGTTTTTCAAAAATTTGCAGCTTTCTCAATCCTAAAGATTGGAAAAGATATTGTGTTAGATGGTTGTTCTTGGAAGCTGTAGCTAGCAACCTCCTTGCGATGGGGTCACTATCCATCCCAAGACAACAACTATGGGCTTAACACATTGGGCCCAGTTGGTTGGAGTGATGGCATCGCTTCTTCTTCGGGCCCACCCATCTCTCATTGTGCTTTCATTGGACCACATCACACCATCCACACTGAGTCAGTGAGTCACTTCACCCTCATTGGAATTGCATGCCGCGGTTTTTCACTCTTTTTTTGGTGCTTTGGTCTCTCCTATGTGTTTCCTAATTTTGTAAACAGCTTTTGTTTTTGCTCCTTCTAATAAACCATTCAGTGGATTTTTTTATTTTTTTTTATGATATAGACATTATTTTGGAAAGTTTTAAATCGTAATTTAAGTAAAATCATTTGACAATTTTGGAAGTGTTTATTGTAACTACAATTTGACTATGTGATTTCATTTAATTAAGTTTTGTAATTTTTTATTGATGAGGAAGAATAAGAATTTAGACTTCAGTACTTAAATAGGAGGGACAATAGACATTGTGTGGTTACTCATAAAATCGGCAGAAAAATGGATAAAACCAAAACAACCAATTGAGTTTTCATGTTGAACCGGTTCTTCGGGAAAAAAAAAATTAAGATATTTTTTTAATATAATTTTTTTATAAAATATATAATATATTTTTGTTTTTTATGCTTTTATCTTATATTAATTATATCAATTTTAAATAATAATGATTTTATTATATTTTTATCTTATTTTAATAATTATTTATTTTATATTTCCTAATATATTTTATATTTGTAATCTTTATCATTATATAAAAAATATTATTACTATTATTTTAATAATTTTGATTGTATCATTCAACTTTTAAACCCTAAATTTATTTGGATCTATCTAATTTTAAACAATTGATTATAATAATTTTAAAACTTTAGTTGGATGTAACTATTAAATTGTATTTAAATAATTTTGCATTGCATGATCTAAATCTTTTTACTATTTTATAATTATGTTATTAAATTGTAGCTAAATATTATTTATATAATTGATTAAAATATGCATTACCTCATCGAGAGAATAAGTTAGTATTTAATGTGTAAGGATACGTTTTTATGAGACATATGTGAGGATGGTTAAAAAATTATTGAAAAATTATAGTTACGTTTTAAGTTAGAGTTTTAAACTTTATAAACATAAAAAACAAATCGATCATTCTACATTTTTCTTGTTTCGCCTTTTCATTAAAACACTTTTTCTCTAATATCATTTTAGAAACTCAAGGAGTTTATTTTCCTCTTCTGTGCTTTTATACTTGGAAGCTAGTTTAGAGCAAACCTTGCATGTGAGGTTTAATGAGAAAATTTTGAGCAAACTTAGAGATTGAGTTGATATTTGACTTCAACTTGGTAATTGATGATTTTGTGTAAATAATGATGGTTGATTTTTTATTTTTTTAAGTTTCTCAAAATTTTCATTATCATAATATACTCAATGAATTGAAGTAATGAATGATGTGCGTATCAATTAGGTATAAATGTCACTAAGTGAAATAAACTATATACCAAGTGAAATTAAAAAAAAAATGATAGTTAAAAACTTTCTACATAATTTGTTTAACAAATTGAGATCCACTCGATACATTCGAAATCGATTCAACAAATTTTATTAATAAAAAAATTAATAAACTTAAATTAATTTTTAGTGGAATTTGAAGGTTTTAAAATGTGTTAATTTAATTTAATAACTTATTTGCAAACTTTATTTATAGCTTAAATCATATAAGATGAAGAGCTACCATAATATAAGAAGAATTTGGATTGGTATAAGTATTTTGAGAGAATATGACGTGTTAGATATAAATCATTATTGATATCATGAGTAGTTATAAATCATTATTGATATTGTGAATAATATAATGCGTATGATAAAACTACAAACAACATTGATGTTGTATGATAATAAGATGTGCCAGGTAGACCATATCTATATGACAAGTGTTAATTTTTTAATATATATTTATTTAATAAAGTCTTTCAAATTTTGTCTAATTGATTTGATTTCTTTCAGTGGTAGGCAATATATGAGTTTCTTATGATTAAAAATCTTTGATATATTTTAAATAATATGTTTATCCTCTGGCTTTGGATTTGGTTTGTAATTCTGAATAAAATGGTAAATTTGGAGAATATTTAGAAAACATTTTGATATATATATATATATATATATATATATATATATATATATATATATATATTTATTTCTATAATTCATACAAGTTTAAGAATTATTATATATTTATGTGTTGATGTAGGAGTATGTTTATATATTAAGGTATATATTTATTTGATCTCACATATATTTTAAATTATTTTTTGAAATATTAAAAATTGAATAAGACATCATAATTTTGTACATGCTATATTACAACGTATTAAACATAAGAATACTTGATATGTATTACTTATGAACATGAGAATACTTAATATAGTATTTATACATAAGACAAATTTTTAAATAATTTATCTACCATAGTTTTTTTTTCACACCCCTCAATCTAAATAATCATTAACAATTTTTATTTATGTAATTTTAGAAATAAATAATATTAAAATATCTTCTCAAATCTCAAATCAACATTCATATATATAATATCACATATATAAAGATATTCTTTGATAATTCTCATATTACATTATAATATTTTTTAATACATATAACAATATTTAACACACTTTATTTCATATTCACAACATATATTATAACAACTTAATTCATATGCATATCAAATACATAAAAATATTATCTTCTACTCCTAATTTTCTCCATTTTTAAGCCTTCAAAATAGGAAATTGCTTGAATGAAGATTTTTTCTAAAGTGAAAATATTAAAAAAAATGTTACTTAACATCAAATTTATAAGTATCAAGTTCCCAACCCAATAAGTTTATGACATCAATGAACGATTTAATTAATTTGATTTCAATCTCAAAAGTAAAGAAGAAATATCATTCAATCATTTATACCCTAAACTAAATTAATTCAATATTATTATTCTTTCATAATAAAAAGTGAAAAGAAAGGATGATAAATTATAAATTTAAATAAAAAAATTAGAGTATGTATTTTTACTATATTAGTGAATTGAACTACTACAAATTAATAAAATCTCAACTCTTGAGTAATTTTTTTTATTTGCTTAATATCTTTTTTATTGACTATCGAGTCTTTACTACTGATACTTCTCCCATCTTATTATGATTATTATAATTTTTATATTTTTTACTTTAATTAGATATTTTAAAGTATTAATATTAATAGAAATTTTAAAAAATATATATACAAATTTGATTTCCATAAATAGTTCTTCCAATTTAAATATTTATTCTCAATTTCATTATTTAATTTACAACGCTATTTTAGTTAAAATTGAAAGACTCAAAATAGTTTAAGTTTTAAAAATTTAAGTTTTATTTACATAAAAAAATATATAATATAATGACTAATTGTTAAGTGGTAAAAGTTAATGTAATTATGCTCTTAATTATTATGTAACCACTTAAATGTTATTGATTTTAATATATTTTTCTCTCAATGTAGGATAAATTGGTAGAATACTTTGATACAAGAACAAAAATCATAATTGTGAAGATAATTGAAGAAAAAGTGAAAGAAAGAAGAATATTTTCAACTGCAAATTCGCTCGAGCGCCATTTACACTCGCTTAAGCGAATATATGCTAAACCTCTCGGGTCACTACAAGAAAAACACCAAATAGTGACCAAAAATTCGGTCACTAAATGTGCAAAATCGGTTACTAATTAAAATAGTGACCGAAATAGTGACCAACTGAAATTGGTCACTATTTCCTTGGTCACTGATTTTAGTGACCGATTCGATGATCGATTCGATGACCGAATCAGTGACCGAATATATATAATCAAATCGGCCACTGAATCGGTCATCGATTCAGATCACTAAATCAATGAAAAAGAATAACAAATTTAATTATTTTTATTTATTTACATTTTTATTATATCTATTATTTATTTTTCCTATCTCTTAATTATTTTATATTTTTTAGAAGTTTAACTTATTATTAGGTGGTTTATTGTCGAGTGTCGGGATTCGAACCCGGTACCTTAGAGTTGGAGGTTGAAACTCCAACCATTGAGCTACTAAGATCTTTTAATAATAACTTACAAATAAATTATATTTATATACAAATAAATGTATATCCATATAAATATATAAATATAAAATCTATAAATAAAAATATATTTATATATTTTAATATATATTTAAATATTAATATATTTATATATTGATATATTTATATCTTTATATTTTTACATATATTTATATTTTTATATATTTATATCTTCATATTTTTACATATATTTATATGTTTTCATATTTATATATAAAGATATTAGTTTTCTATACAAATAATATTATAATATAGTATATTATACTATTAGTATAGTATACAAATAATATATTAGTATAGTATAGTATACAAATTATTAATTTTATAATTTATATACAATGAAAATAATATAATGGTATATTAGTATAGTATAGTATATTTGTATTCTAATTTTTAATTAAATTAAAATTATGCTAATAATGTATATTAATATATGAGGGGATAATATTGATATATTGATATATTTGTATATATATATATATATATATATATATATATTTATATATTTATATATTTATATATTTATATATTTATATATTTATATATTTATATATTTATATATTTATATATTTATATATTTATATATTTATATATTTATATATTTATATATTTATATATTTATATATTTATATATTTATATATTAATATATTTATATATTAATATATTAATATATTTATATATTTATATTTTTATATATTTATATTTTGATATATTTATATATTTATATATTTATATATTTATATATTTATATATTTATATATTTATTTATATCCTTATACATTTATATCTTTATATATTTATATATTTGAAAAAAAAATATTAAATTTTAAAAATAATATTATATTTTTAAAAATAAATATAAGAAAAAGATTTAAAAATATATATAAATTATATTTACATTTACAAAATATTAAAGATATATGTTTATATCTTTACATATTTATATATATTTATATATTTATATGTTTATATTTACTTCTAATAGCGGTTGCACCATCGCTCGAGCGAGATTAGAGTCGCTCAAGCGAAATACAACCCGAGAATGCCAATTTTGTGCGAGGCGTTTCGCTCGAGCGAGAAGAGTGTCGCTCAAGCGAAATAAAGTTTAGATAGCGGTTAATCGAGAACCGCTCTAAAAGTTCACTTAGATAGCGGTTAACCTGAAACTGCTATTATATGGTTTCAATTATGATCGATCGAATGCAATTATGACCGATCGAACTTTTTAATCGATTAAATCTCATTTCAATCGATTAAAACAATTTCTGCACAGACATTTTAATCGATTAAAACTTATTTTTATCAGCTTAAAATAACTTGAAAAGTTTTACAAGAAACTTATATTTATATATTTATATTTTTATATATTTATATTTTGATATATTTATATATTGATATATTGATATATTTATTTATATCCTTATACATTTATATCTTTATATATTTATATATTTGAAAAAAAAATATTAAATTTTAAAAATAATATTATATTTTTAAAAATAAATATTAGAAAAAGATTTAAAAATTCTCAATTCTACATTTTTGTAAATTCTATCATTATATTATCATGCTCATTATATCAAAATGTTAAATACTTTTAAATATTAAAATTAACTTTATAAAAAATTAGGAAAAAAAATTAATCCAAAAGAGTTCAAAAATGTATTATAATAGTGTCAATTTTGAGTTTAATTATATTGTTCATTCTCAAAGTAGAAAAATATAATTTAAAATTTTAATACTAAAATTAAAAGATTAAATAATAATAAATTTAATTCTTTAAATTCAGATAGCTAGAAACTAAAATTATAGTTTCTCTGTTTGAAATAATTAAAATAAATATTTAAAAATAAAAATCAAAACTAGTATTATCTTAAATTTATTAAAAGTGTAATTCAAACTTCTCAATTCTACATTTTTGTAAGTTCTATGATTATATTATCATCCTCATCTCCTCCCATGTTCTACTTTATCTTTACAATAGTCAATATTCTTAACTAATTTATAGTTTTAATTATAATTTTTTAGTATATATTTGAGAAATTAATCAATTCTAATCTATTATTTGAAAAACTAATCAATTCTAATCAATAATTTAGAAAACTAATCGATTATAATTAATTATTTGAAAAAATTATCAAATATGATCGATCATTTCGAAAATCTAATCGATCAGAATCAAAAAATCTGGTTGTATATGATAGCGGTTGCACCATCGCTCGAGCGAGACAATAGTCGCTCAAGCGAAATACAACCCGAGAATGCCAATTTTGTGCAGGGAGTTTCGCTCGAGCGAGAAGAGTGTCGCTCAAGCGAAATACAGTTTAGATAGCGGTTACACAGAACCGCTCTTAAAAGCTCACTTAGATAGCGGTCAACCTCGAAACCGCTATTATATGGTTTCAATTATGATCGATCAGAATGTAATTATGACCGATCAGAACTCTTTAATCGATTAAATCTCATTTCAATCGATTAAAACAATTTCTGCACGACGTTTTAATCGATTAAAACTTGTTTTTATCAGCTTAAAATTACTTGAAAAGTTTTACAAGAAACTTATATTTATATTTTTATATATTTATATTTTGATATATTTATATATTGATATATTTATTTATATCCTTATACATTTATATCTTTATATATTTATATATTTGAAAAAAAATATTAAATTTTAAAAATAATATTATATTTTTAAAAATAAATATTAGAAAAAGATTTAAAAATTCTCAATTCTACATTTTTGTAAATTCTATCATTATATTATCATGCTCATTATATCAAAATGTTAAATACTTTTAAATATTAAAATTAACTTTATAAAAAATTAGGAAAAAAAATTAATCCAAAAGAGTTCAAAAATGTATTGTAATATTGTCAATTTTGAGTTTAATTATATTGTTCATTCTCAAAGTAGAAAAATATAATTTAAAATTTTAATACTAAAATTAAAAGATTAAATAATAATAAATTTAATTCTTTAAATTCAAGTAGCTAGAAACTAAAATTATAGTTTCTCTGTTTGAAATAATTAAAATAAATATTTAAAAATAAAAATCAAAACTAGTATTATCTTAAATTTATTAAAAGTGTAATTCAAACTTCTCAATTCTACATTTTTGTAAGTTCTATGATTATATTATCATCCTCATCTCCTCCCATGTTCTACTTTATCTTTACAATAGTCAATATTCTTAACTAATTTATAGTAGAAACTATAATTTTTTAGTATATATTTTGAAATTAATCAATTCTAATCTATTATTTGAAAAACTAATCAATTCTAATCAATAATTTAGAAAACTAATCGATTATAATTAATTATTTGAAAAAATTATCAAATATGATCGATCATTTCGAAAATCCAATCGATTAGAATCAAAAAATCTGGTTGTATATGATAGCGGTTTCACTGGAACCGCTCTTAAAAGAGCACTTCTAGTAGCGGTTGCACCATCGCTCGAGCGATACTAGAGTCGCTCAAGCGAAATACAACCCGAGAATGCCAATTTTGTGCAGGGGGCGTTTCGCTCGAGCGAGTAGTATATCGCTCAAGCGAAATACAGTTTAGATAGCGGTTACACAGGAACCGCTTTTAAAATCTCACTTAGATAGCGGTTAACCTGGAACCGCTATTATATGGTTTCAATTATGATCGATCAAAATTTAGTTATGACCGATTAGAACACTTTTAATCGATTAAATCTCGTTTCAATCGATTAAAACAGTTTCTGCACAGCGTTTAAATCGATTAAAACTTATTTTTATTAGTTAAAATAACTTGAAAAGTTTTACAAGAAAGTTTTGCAGTATTTCAATCGATTGAATCGCGAAACAATCGATTAAATCAACTTAGAAGATTTTTTGTAAAGTGTTTTAATTGATATAAACGTTGTCGTATCAGTTAAAACAAATATGTTAAAGAATCAAGAACGTATTAATGGATTAAAAGAAGTTTTAACGATTAAAACCGCACTTTTAACAGATTAAAATAATCTTTTAACAGATTAATTAAACCAGCAGTTTTGAAAATCTTCTATAAAAACAGTTTGGCTTGAACTTTTTTAACATACATTGAATATCATCTTTTACACATCCTTGAGCAATCAATCAATCGCTAATTGCGACCGAATTAAAGTGGGGGTTGGCTCGAGGTTAGAGTTCGACGTCACTAGGGTATGCGTTAGGGTTCGAGCTCCGTTGGGTTTCGAGCATGACAATTGGGTTTGGCTTGACATTGGGGTTCGATGTCGCCGAGTTGGGGTTCGGCCTCGAGTTCATCGAGGTTGAGGTCGGGGTTGAGATTCGAAGTTGCTTGGGTTTTGATTGGGTGTTTTGGTCACTCGGATTTGAGATTCAAGGTCACTGGGTTGGATTTCAAGCTTGAGGTCAGGTCATGCATGCTCGGGTTAAAGATCTTCGAAGCTGAATAGAAGGGTGGAGGATTGGGGTTAGAGAGACGAAAGTGATTAAGCTCGAACAATGGTGGATAGTCACTGGTACAAGGTCACAAAGAGGGAGTGAAATTGTGAGCGGGAAGGTGAATTTGGGAGGGTCTATCGAGCATGAATTTGGGAGGGAGTGAAATTATATATAATTATTATTATTATAAATTTAATTTTCTAATAACTAATAATATTAACACATTTATTAAATTAAATTTCTTTATTTTAATTAATTATTTTAAATTTTTTTACAATTTTTTTTAAATAAATATGATAAAACGTAAAATTAATTTCTAACTAATAATA